ACTTTCAATTTTTAAACCTCATCTGGATGTTTTCATTCACTTAGAGCTGTGTTACACACTGCATAGAAGGTCATTTTCAAAAACCCATAATAGGGGCTCTTAGACAATGTTCTTGCAGCAAAAAATAAATTCAATGTAGTTATTTTGTTCATAATGTTTTGCAGAACATTTTTACTGTCCTTAAGGTGGGATACGGGTAGGTTTAGGGACAAGTCTGGTGGTAAGATTTGGTGTAAGAATGGCTTAAGGTGTAAGGGATCATCAACAGTGTAATTAAAGATGTAAATACAGAATTGTAAGAATACAAATGTTATTACATGCAGGTATTTAATCAATCATCAGAACAAAATAAAAACCTTGTATTTACATACTGTAATAAGCACATCATAACAAATGATTCATTTCAGTGTAAGTGCATATTAGTTAACCACTTAAACTCTGCTGCTATTTGGGGAAATCCACATGCAGAGGTGTAAATGCAAAAATTTGGTATTTCATTTGGTATATTCATTTTAAAGAAAACCCTTTGAATTTTCATAAAACACTATTGAAAGTGTTTAAAATAACTGTGCATGTCGTCTGTGTTATAATAAACACTAAAAAAAGAGGCGCTTTTTGTATTTTTTTTTATAAACTCAAATTTGAAGTGTACCTTTTAGGTTCTGTGTGGTCTAGTGTGCTGTAATTAATTTTGGTGGTTCCTGCACATGTCTGTAAGCATAGGAAAAAAGAAAATGTCTCTACCAGAATCTATGCAAAAGTTATTGCATTCCAACTGATGAGAGGTGCTGTACAAGCCACAGAGACCGATCCTTGTTTACATATTTTACTATTCTTTTGTTTGATCTAACATAATTCACTGTTTGGACCACATCAGACATATAAAAGGATTACGTATGCACATCAGCTCAAAAACAGAGGAGAATGGCCCTGAAGGGCACAGCATAAGGTAAGAGATGACAGCTGTCTGTGCTGTCTGGGGCTGCTTATTGATCATGAATGTATTGTTTACATTTCTGCGCCATGGAAACACCACAATTCATTCAACAACAGTTTGGCATATGAATATAATTCAGTAAAAAGAATGCTAGAACTGTATGAGCACCGGCAAGAGCTTTCATTTGAGCTATAACTTGTACATGTGTCATTTGAAAAATATGAAAATAAACCAATGTAAAATACCTAGCACAGGTATCCAAAATAATGTGTATTTAAGTGTAAATAACTTTTGTACAGTAGAATAAAAACCAAAGTGATGCATATGTGCATAAAATATAGATTCTACACTTTCAAACGAAACCACTTACAAGGGTCTGGTGCAATGCTAGCCCTTTAAATCTGAAAGTGAAAGTCGATCACGTCACGGACCCGGTATCGGGTCCGCAGAGTTTAGGTCACTTATTAAAAAAGTGGGACCTGAAGTTTTAATATAATGTAAGTTGTAAAGACTTGTAAAAAATTCAAGGTAGCATTTTTCTTCTACAGTGTATTTTCCAAGTGCTTTTTTTACGCTTATTTTTTTCGGTGTTATCTTATTGTCCTGGTTTTTTTATTTTATTTTTTTTTATTTTGTGTTTCTAAGTTTAAGTGGCAGCATGAGAATATATAACTTGACGTTCAATCATTCATTCATGGAATTCTTAAAAGCTGAAAAGAAAGCCATACCTTCCACTTTGCCCCTCAAATGCAAAAACAAGCAGAAAGCGAAGGAAATGTGGGACTGGATTTAATGTGTCTGCAGAAAGAAAGCACAAGTAGAAGAGAAAGACAGATCCTGTCCCTGCTGCGATGGCTTTTCAAAGCGTGTCACGAGCAGACACTGATTTCCACTCAGCCACAATAAAAGTCACTGACAGCCGCCTCTCTAAATCCTCATTGACCTGTTATGTATAATGGGCTTTACAGAAGGACTTGGCTCTGAGGATCTTTTCTCACAATCAACAGTTTAAAGGGGAAACAGTATACCATCATGACATGCAAACAAAACTGCGTTCTGCAAGTTGTGCAGTTTTCTCCTTTTCGTTTTCACTTGGATTGTTTAGCAGTACAAAGAATAGACTAGACCCTAGACTAGAAGTGATGTGTGCTGGGATTATCAAAGCAATACATCTGCATACGACGGAGTACTGGAAACACTCATCTAATGGTCAGAAAGGTTTTATGAATTTTAACTAAGGGGCCATTTACATTAACTTTTTTGCCAGTTCATTTACACCAGTGGTTCCCAAAGTGGTGGTCTGGACCCCCTGCAGGGTTGCGAGACAATACCACTGTATTGTAGAGTTCAATGCGGTACGATTTTATGGCCGTTTCCACTGTCAAATGCCGTACCGAACCGAAACATACCATACCACTTTTTGGTCACCATTTGCAAAGGGTACCAAAAGGTGGAGCTAGACACACAGCTGAATGCGATTGGTTTACAGAGATATGTAATTCGCTCGGACAACAAGCCAGAATGAAAATAAAGGAAGTGCCATTTTAAAAACACAGCCGTGACATTACATCGTAATATTATATACAAATAATAACAAGACTTCAACAACCCAAGCTCAAACAAAACTTGTTGTCATCGTGATGAACAGCCACAAAGCCAAAAACTAAATCTTTAGCAGTACAATATGGCTGAACATCGTGGGGTACTAAGACCTTTGGCCTGTGGCCTTGAGCCTACATGCCATACAGCCATATCGCTCATTGCATATTGCTCATACATCGGATTCTGAATGTGCTAAATTTACCTTGGAATGTTTATCCCCAATCATAAATATATGTGGTCTATTTTGGCTTGTTTTTGTTCCCAAGTTAAAAGTTTATTACATTAAATGCTTAACTTAAGATAAAGAATTAAATATATTTTAAGATTAAGATACAGGAAAACTTAAAGTGAGTGATTGAGTGAGGAAGGCTGTGAGATCTAGTTCAGGCAAGAGGAGCTTCTGCATACTAATGGACAAGTTTTTATGTACAAGACTAACCCTGTACACTATAACGAGAACTACATGGAGAGTGGAGAATTGGTCTGTGGTGCGTTTGCCACAACATCAAAGTGACTTGTGGCTGAACTATCATAGTATGATACATTGTTTATGAAAAAAAATTATATAGTGACAAGTGTTTCCTGAACTCGGAGATCCATAAATTCAAGCATGTAAATTAAACCGTAAATTGCAATTCTAATTGCTTTTGTAAACAAAATATAAAACCTCTACGAAACATGTTTCTTAATTTCGTTTACAAAACAGAAATATGACCATATAGTAACATTTCTTTTTGTTTGTTTAGTTTAAGTGTAATAAACATCACTGTTAAATATTTTTCTTCTGTAGACCCCTTACAGAATGTTGAAAAGTCACATCCTAAATAGAAGCACAGCATAATAACATAGAATATCTCAAATATAAAATACAATAAAAAAGCAAAAAGCGAAACCAGATTGATGGCAGCAGAAGAGGACAAAAAAGCCAAAGACACAAATAAATACAAATAATTGTCAAGAATACAGTACTAATGCTGACAATGCTGATTTGTCAGTAACTAATTTTAACATGAAACTGAAAAGAACAAAAAGTAAGTGATCTTGTAATTGTTGGTGGGATGGAGTTTCATTCCCTAAGCAGCTTTCACTGAAAATACAGACTGACTGATTTTACTTTTTTGAGTCCCCTCTTTCACCACCCCTAGTAGTTCGTTGATATTCTGTTCGCTGTTGTTCTAACTTTCACAAAGTGATTTATTAGTGAAGTCAGGTTACGTAAAGTCTTAAACATTAAACAAATATGTACATATTTAATAAAATTTTCCCAACTAAGCAGGTTGTATTTCTTTAATAATGAACGATGATGAAATTGAGCTGATTTCTTATCAAGGGTTTAAAGGATTATTTTTACAATGATTCAAGTGGCTTCAATGTAATGCTAGCTTGGGACCAAGTGGTTAAACAATAAGTGATATGAGAAATGATCATGCAGTGATAGTAGATTAGGGCAGCCTTGTCTAATAAAATTTTTTCTTAATTATTTTGTTTTGTTCTTTATTTGAATAACTTATTGACATTTTATTTTAAACACTGCAGAAATGTTTCAGATAGGCCTACTTTTAAAATATAAATGAATTATTGAGAAGTTATTATTTTTCTATTGGTGTCAGCCACTAAAAGCACCAAACTTCTGACTAAACTTAGGCTATTTAGATTAGGTGGGTGGGTGTTTGGAGGACACAAACCCACATTCCTGGGTGATTCATTGGTCTCTCTCTCTTTGTTTCTTCTTTTCGCCCTTCTTTTTGTTTAGTCTGCTCAGTCACATTATGAAGTGCTTGTGGTAATTCACATTTTGGCTATTCAGCTGTTCTGGAGTTCCAGCAAACTCATTCCCATCATCGCTCACATCTTAATATCCAATGAGAGGACTAAGAGAGCAAAGTAAATAAAAGGTTTAATTAAACTCTGATCACAACTCTGAGTCTAGATTTGCATAGGAATTCGACAGCCCTGTGCACGTGGTAGTGGCTTAATAAAAGAAAGTGATTAGGGACATATAAAGAGTGATACACCGACCATAGAAGAAGAAAGCAGATGGCTCACTTCTTGGCATGCAGTTGAAACTGTTTCTTCACCTTTTCAACCTTGACTGTAAAAGAAGCCATTCAACGAACGTAGCATTGTAACACTATCTCTGTTTAACAATAAATCAAGAGTGCAGCATACCATCTGCTCTTAAACAGGCTCATATAAAACAAAATCAGCCTTTCTCATGGCTGAGCGGGAGAGGGAGTATAAAGCATGTACATGTGTCTACGTAACCGTAAAAAAATACATAGACGTGTGGGTGATGTTTCAGTCTGGATTGAATTTGATGTAATCGAGCAATCAAACTGATTCTCAAGACCTCTGGAGATCTTTTGATGAGGAAAACTGTGTATGTTTAAAAGAAATAGGAAGCATTTCATAGCATTGTGCAATTTTAAAATGTGCCCATGTTGCTTTGTGTCATTTCCAGGAGCTGCTTATTCAATTCTTCACGGATGGTCACATGACGCTGATGTCACAGTGGAGCTGCTCAGGAGGAGACGCTGGCTTCTGATGGAGCCTCTACCAATGGAGACTAAGAAAGCCAGTCAGGATGGTTTGAAGCTCGAGTCTCAGGATTCACCCAGAACACTGGCTGATGACGACGGAGGAGACAACAGCTCACAAATTATGGTAACCATGAATATGTTGCACACTATAAATTTTCCCTAAAAAAAAAAAAAAAAAAAAAGATAAACACTAAATTGATTTTTTTTTAAACAAAAAATATTTTTATTTTATTTTATTTTATTTTATTTTATTTTATTTTATAAAAGCACTCTGAATAAGAAATGTTGCAAGAGCTGCAAATCAGCATATTTGAAGGATCATGTGACACTAAAGACTGGAGTAATGGAGCTGAAAATTCAGTTTTGCCATCACAGGGGTAAATTGCATTTTTAAATTATTATAAGTGAATTAGACAGTTTTTCTCTCACTCACTCACACACACACATACACACACACACACACACACACACACACACACACACACACACACACACACACACACACACACACACAATCTCTAAGCTAGAACACAGCAGAGTGAAAAAAGGTGAAGTTAATTTACTGTGAAAGGGAATAAGGAAAAGAGTCAGAGATTTCAGCTCAGGTTTGTTTTTTAGGGAAATGACCTGTATAAAAATGTACATAAAAATGTTAATCCACAGTAAGGCTTAATTTGAACCAGCCAGGACTGGCATGAAATTCAGCAGGGTAAACATGAGAGGCCATGAAGACATATCGAGAGGCTTCCGGCTGCTGTCAGTCAAACAGCTCTAGAGTTTTTCTTCCACCAGCAGTTGTTGTGTTTGGAGGGAGATGGTGGTGTGCTGGTTTCCCTACCAGGTGTCTTAACAGGATCGAAGTGATAGTTGACTTTAATAAAAGAGATAATTCTGTCATTGTTTACTCATCCTCATGTCATGTTATATCTGTTGTTCTTCCATCCCAGGCTCATTGGAAATACGTACATCAGCCTACATTTTTGCAAAGTTTAAGATGCCAAATCCAATATAGTGCAGTGGTTCCCAACCTTTTAATTACCGTGAACATTTAGCAATTTTACCACGGACTGGGGGAGGGGTGGGGGTGGTTTGGGTTGGTGGAGGTTTATACGCTGCTATGCGACCATCAACTGTTTTCTCAGAGGATTACAAGCTGACAAAACATTGCTGTCACTTTGATACAAGTTTTATTTGTGGAGAAAACTACAAAGCACTGCAGTGTTTGGGTGTTCTGTGTTGCCACAGCGGAATGAACCACCAACTTATCCAACATATGTTTTACTTAGTGGATGATCTTCCAAATGCAACCCATCACTGGGAAAAACCCATTCACACACATTCACTACAGACAATTTTTTAGCTTACCTAATTTACCTATACCACGTCTTTAGACTTTTGGGGGAACCGGAGCACTCGGAGGAAACATGCACGTAGAACTCCACATAGAAATGACAAACTGACCCAGCCGAGGCTCGTACCTGCGACCTTCTTGCTGTAAGGCGAGAACGCTACCAACTGCGCCACCATGCTGCCCCTGAGAAAATACGTCTACCAAAATGTGTGTATTCTATACAAGCTGAAGTTGATCGGTCAGTTCTTGTCACGTGACTTGCAGAGTGCTCCTGGTATTCATTCAACTGTGCGTCTGGAAGGCGGCCAAGCCGTTCACCTCCATTGGAAATAATGAACCTGCACGAACTCTAGAAAAGACACAATATGCAAAAGGCCGCCATCATTTGCGATCTCCAGCGGTTGACGTTCTTGCACAGACATGGATTCACCTGATTTGTTGACAAATGGGTTGCGGATCCGTTCCTGGGCCTTTTCCCCTTAGCAAAGAAACTTTCCAAAGACTTCTGTTTCTTACTCATTTTCCTGCTTGTGGGTTAAATTTTGGCGCTCAAGTAACCGAGATGTAACCGGGAGAATATGATCATTTTTCAAAATAAAAGATCCTTCAGACTCAGATAATAAATAAAATGGAAGTAATTAATGATTTCTTGTGCGGCCTGGTACCGATTGATCCACAGCCCAGTGGTTGAGGACCACTGCATTTGTGGGCACTATCTACTTTTTTTGTGTATCTGATATAGTTACTTAGGGTATTTATTTATCTATTTATTTATCTATTTATTTATCTATTTATTTATTTATTTATTTATTTCACAAGTGATAGTCTACATTAATCAACATTCCTCCAAATTGTAAATGTACCCAAATAAGCACAAAATTTTATTTGGTGGTATGTTTGCCAGATATTAAAGGCCTGTTCAGATAAAAATACAAATTTAAACTATAAACAATACTCAAATGAATGACAAAAACAACAACAACATAAAAAAACAAGTGTTCTACAGCACAAAAATACATTATTATGTTTGCAGATATTTAAGAAACATGCTAAGTGAACATACTTGTTCATCTGAAAAACAGTGCTGAAGTCAGATATTCTGCTTTAAAAAAAAATGTGAGTGATGTGCTGAAACGGCTGTCTTTGTTTTGGTTCTTTTAACCTGCTCACATCCACTTTATCCAATTATATTTCAGCACCAGGTGGAAGACTGCTTATTTCATTCAGTCAGTCAAGAAGGCTCAAAAGCATGCATCTGTGACCGAATTGTAACCTTTGGTGGACAGTACCAGCCTCAGAAATGAAATGCAAATTTAGAGTTCCACATGAGGTTATTAATTAGCAAATGATATAAATATTACGAACGTAAACATTAGGTGAGCAGGTTACAGTAAATCCGGAAAGTATTCATAGCGCTTCACTTTTTCCTCATTTTTTTTTTGTTACAGCCTTATTCCAGAATGGATTAAATTCATTTATTTCCTCGAAACTTTACACACAATACACCATAATGACAATATGAAAAAAGATTTTTTTTAAATTGTTGCAAATTTATTACAAATAAAAAAACTAAATAATCACATGTACATAAGTATTCACAGCCTTCGCTGTAATACAAATACTTTTTGAATATGATGCCACAAGCTTGGCACACCTGTCTTTAGGAGTTTTTGCCCTATCCTCCTTGCAGTACCTCAAGCTCTATCAGGTTGGATGGGAAGCGACGTTGTACAGCCATTTTTAGATCTCTCCAGAGGTGTTCAATAGGTTTAGGTCTGGGCTCTGGCTGGGCCACCCAAGGACATTCAGCGAGTTGTTGTGAAGCCACTTCATTGATAATTTGGTCATGTGCTTTGGATCATTGTCCTGCTGGAAGATGAACCGTCACCCCAGTCTGAGGTCAAGAGCACTCTAAATCAGGTTTTTATTCAGGATGTCTTTGTACATTGCTGCATTCATCTTTCACTCTATCCTGACTAGTCTTCCAGTTCCTGCTGCTGAAAAACATCCCAACAGCATGATGCTGCCACCACCATGCTTAACTGTAGGGATGTTATTAGCCTTGTGATGAGCGGTGCCTGGTTTTCTCTAAATGTAACGCCTGGCATTCACTCCAGTTCAATTTTATTCTCATCAGACCAGAGAATTTGGTTTCTTATGGTCTGAGAGTCTTTTAGATGCCTTTTGGCAAATTCCAGGCGGGAAGTGGCTTCTCTCTGGCCACTCTACCATACAGGCCTGATTGGTGGATTGCTGCACAGATGGTTTTACTACTGTAAGGTTCTCCTCTCTCCACAGAAAAACGCTGGAGCCCAGACAGAGTGACAATCGGGTTATTAATTACCTCCCTGACTAAGGCCCTTCTCCCTGATCACTCTGCTAAGATGGCCAGCCAGCTCTAGGAAAAATGCTGGTGCTTCCAAACATCTTCCACTTATGGATGTTGGAGGCCACTGGGCTCATTGGAACTTTCAGAGCAGCAGAAATGTTTCTGTAACTTTTCCCAGCCTTGTGCCTAGAGACAATCCTGTCTCGGAGACAATTCCTTTGTCATCATGCTTGGTTTGTGCTTTGACAAGCACTGTCAACCCTGGGACATTATATAGACAGTTGTATGCCTTTTCAAATCAGGTCCAATCAACTGAATTTACCACAAGCGAACTCCAATTAAGCTGCTGAAACATGCCAAGAATGATCAGTTGAAACAAAATTTACCTGAGCTCAATTTAGCTGTGATATTCAGGTTTTTTTATTTTTTAATAATTAAAAAAAGGTCACATTAATTCAATTAATCTAATCGCATTAATCAAAAAAGTTACATTGTCATTATGGGGTATTGTGTGTAGAATTTTGAGGAAATAAATGAATTGTATCCATTTTGGACATAAAAAATGTGGAAAAAATGAAGCGCTGTTAATACTTTATGGATGCACTGCACATTGTTAACCCGTGTCCTAACAGCACACTACCTGACGAGTTACAGCAATAAGCTGTTTGGCTGTTTGCACCAGACAAAACACAACAGAAATGTAAATACAGCCATTCAGAAGCACAGAATATGCACTTACATATAAAGTGGTAAGGTTTATAATCTAATTAATGCATATTAAACCTCTTTAGCATTATTTAATGTAGATGCTGAATCAATATGTGTTGGTTTTGAGTCACAGTCCTAAAGTTTATTTTATTTTCAAGATCTGAAGTGAACTATCTGCTGCTGCTTTTAGTAGTATGGCAATAAATATCATGTAAAATTTCATTCAAACTCACTTTCATTAGTGTTTGACACTGAATAAAGCACAAAAGGTGTACCTGAGGGGAACATTGTCATCAAGTTTTCTGTTGTTCTGTTGCAAAAAATATTATCCATTTCTAAAATATAAATTTGAGGTGTTGGTTAGGACAAAAACACATTTTATTATGGAAAATATTCCTTGTATTGTATGCTGGTGCTTTTATTTAGAACATGATTTAAATCAGCCTTTAGACTCGATAGTCAAACTCTCTCCAAATCGGGTTCGTCATACAGATCACCTAAGCCAACGACCTAAACCCAACCAACAGTGTTTATAGAAGCAAACAAGCAAAGAATGCAGTGCATCCATATACTTTTACCTAGATTTGACCTCTTTTGAGAAATCACTGTATTCAGTTACAAACTGAGACACCGTTAGGTTGTTTTGAGGTATTTGTTTGGTATCTTGAAAGTAATTATTTATTTATCAGCAATATGTCCCTGTAAACATCATTGATGTCATTATAGTGAAAAGGAACAACAGTTGTTGGCTTCACTCTGCCCCGTAGCGTTCATTTAACTTAAAAACTGCAGTCAAGCATATGTTCAAGGACATTTTTGAGGTTTCGCAAAAAATGTCGGCTGAAGCACGTATTTCCAATGAGCCTGTGTTGCAGCTCCTTTCTTCTGTGGAACATAAAAGAAGATCAGCAGTCATCACCAAATTAATAACACTCTTCGGTATATCTTCTTTTGTGAAGAAGAAATTCATTTAAGGATATTCTTATATATATTCTGACAAGGTCTGAGTGGATGGACTATTATACATTTTTATTTAAACTTATTATATTAAAGCAGTTGTACATTGACCAGTGTGGTCATTACATACATGTACATATGAGAAACATCACTAGACGATTTATGCGCACATGTTTTCAGCACTGAATTATTCTCCACAAAATAGTTCTTCAAAGCTTTGTGAATCTATACAGTTTGTACTTGCTAATTTTTATGTCCGCTGGCTGTTTTCTTTGATGTTGTTTTACAAGGCCTGTTCGATGGTGTTTCTTTGTTTGAACTCCTACCAGCTTCTGTATACAAACACATTCCTGTATAAACACACATCTGCCAGGTGGATCATTTATTTCACACACGACAGAGAGCTTGGCATTTTACATTTTGTGTCTTTCAAAGGCCTGAATTTCTATGGCTCTTTATGGCATGGCTTAAGTCTTGGCTTTTAGATCTTAGTATGCTTTTGTTTCAGCCCATGTGGTTTTCTTTATACTTTGAGAGATTAAATTGTCAAAGAGTACAAACCTTATATTCAGCTATACGTAATCCTTATGTTTGAATTGTGGGTGTAATTTTCCTTGTGTGGGTTAAACTAAGTCAAATTAAGGTCAGTAAAATCACCACAAATCACAGTGTAAAACTTTTTTTTTAAAAACTGAAACAAAGGCAAAGTCAGTAAGCATTTATATGAATATACTAATATGGAGAAGGCACTTGGTGTCATTTATACAACTACTAATCATATATACAATACTTATATATGAATACATTACATTATACAAAAACTTAATTTATCATCAGATGTAAATATAAGAAAGTAAAAACAAACAAAAAAACAACAATAAAGTCAGCAAAAAGTATATAGTTTTACGCTCATTCACTTAAAGTAACTGGTTGTTGTCATGAACAGATCAGAGTTGGGTTGAAGCTAAACTCTGCAGGAAAGTTAATCTCTTGGGCCATATTTGAGGATCCCATATATAAATATTGTTACTAGCATCTGACTAAGCATGTAAGTGATTACAAACTCAGATGTCCACTGCAAAATTATTTTTGTCCCAAACCACAAGTTTAATCACTGAGGAGCTATGGAGATTTTTTTTACTTTTACAGACGTCCTCATGAGTAACAATTGCTGTCCATACAAGGCCTCAGAGCAAAAATACACCACAAGTATAATTGTACTTAATAGCAGGTAGACATGGTCAAGACGATCTGCTACTGTTCAAACCGAGCATCAGAATGGAGAAGAAAGGAGATTTAAGTGACTTTAAATATGGCATGGTTGTTGGTGCCAGACAGGCTGGTTTGAGTATTTCAGAAACTGCTGATCTACTGTGATTTTCACACGCAACCATCTCTGGGGTTTACAGAGAAAGGTCTGAAAAAGGGAAAATATCCTCTGTTGATGCCAGAGGTCAGAGGAGAATGACCAGACTGGTTCCAACTGATAGAAAGGCAACAGTAACTCAAATAGTCACTCGTTACCACAAAAGTTTGCAGATCTAAAGTTACACATCTCTGAACACACAACACATCAAACCTTGAGGCGGATGGGCTACAGCAGCAGAAGACCACACCAGGTGCTACTCCTGTCAGCGAAGAACAGGAAACTGAGGCTACAGTTCGCAAGGGCTCACTAAAACTGGACAAGAGAAGATTGAAAAAATGTTGCCTGGTCTGATGCCTGGTCTCAATTTCTGCTGTGACATTCAGATGGTAGGGTCAGAATTTGGCGTCAACAACATGGAAGCATGGATCCATCCTGCCTTGTATCAGTGGTTCTGGCTGGTGGTAGTAGTGTAATAGTGTGGGGGATATTTTCTTGCCACACTTTGGGACCATTAGTACTAATTGAGCATTGGTCAGCGCCACAGCTTACCTGAGTATTGCTAATTTTATGTCCTAAAATCGCATTACTTCCAGCAGGATAATGCACCACGTAATAAAGTGTATATCATCTCAGACTGGTTTCTTGAACATGACAATGAGTTCACTGTACTCAAATGGCTTCCACAGTCACCAGATCTCATTCCAATGGAGCTCCTTTAGGATGTGGTGGAACGGGAGATTCACAGCTGGATGCTATCATGTCAATATTGACCAAAATCTCAGTGGAATATTTCTAGTACCTTGTTGAATCTGTGCTACTAAGATAGACAACTTGTTCATGATTTTGCCCCATCATCATCATTAATGCTTTAACATCCATACTAAGCAGTTTAGCAGTTGTGGAAAAAACTATTTAAAAATTAGGTCACAGTAGGAGTTGTTTTCTTTTCCACCATGTTTAAAGTTTACGGCCTGCCCAACTCCAGACTTCAAACTCTTGCCAGTAGTAAATACAATTTGAGAGGCTGTTCACTGGGTTATGAACCAATAGGTCCTCTTTTTGATTATTTGTTTGCCATTATTCATCATGTCTTGAAATAATCTATACTCTCAGAAAACATTGTACAATATTGTACCAAAGAAGGTACAAACCCTTGTCACTGGGGCAGTACCTTTTTATGGAACAGAATTAAACCTTAAGACAAAGAAACAAATTAGTACCATTGCAGTTTGTACCTTTAAGGACATTATTTGTACCATGGGAAACCAAAATGTACCTTTGGTTTTAAAAATCTGCAGATACAATATTGTACCTTCATCAAAGGTACAAATCTGAAATGCTCACCAAACATTTAAAATGCCTTAAATGTTTAGCTTTCAATACCTATAGTGTTATGTTTTACCAGTTGTTTTGTATTATAGAACTTAATAATTAATGTTTATGAGTTTCTTTAAACATATGCTTTTAAATGATGATTTGTGTTTTAATATGGAGATTATTAATAAAATCACTTTGCCTTCCAGTCATATTTATTTTCATAGATATTGTAATAAAAGGAGTTGTTCAACACTTTTGGATCTTTTATATGGACTATTCTGTACCAGATAAGGTACAATTTTTACAAAAGTACACAACTGTTCCTCAAGGAACATTATTTGTGCCACCGTGTACCTTTTTTTCTGAGAGTGTAGCATGTGTCTAAAAGGGAACATTTACATTTTTAAGTTGTTTTTGCAGTCTTCTTGACTTAAAAGAGAGAAGAAAATGAGATTTCAGATAGCTTCAAATGATCAGTTGGACCAAAAATATTTATTACCAAAATAAATGCCCAAAATATATATTTTCACACAACTAAAGCGGTTCTAAACTTAAGTTTCTTTCTTCTTTTAAACATAAAAAAACATTTTGAAAAGAGTATTGTAAGCCAGCAGTCACTGACATCAATAGTAGGAAAAAACAGCATGGAAATCAATGTCTGCTGCTTTCTAACATTCTTCAAAATATCTTCCTTGGTATTTAACAGAAGAAAGAACCCGGTTTGGCACTAGTGAAAAAGGTAATAATTCTTTTTTGCTTCTAAAACCCATAAGTTTTTAATAACTGGAGCACTGATAACAGTGTTTGTAGAAAATGATTTGTAATGATCTGCAAATTAAGGAATACAATTTCTGTGAGCTGATTCTCTTTCCATGAGTTGATCAAGCTCTTTTGTTCCTGTCCAAAGCGTTATGCTGTTACCAATCAGCAGCATTGTTCTGTGTGTGTGTATTTTTTTTTCTGGCTCTCCAAACATTTTCCATCCATTTGCTTGGCAGATGTAACCTGCAGACCTGTTTATGGAGTTTAATGTCACCTTATTGAATGTGACTTGTAAATTCATGTTTCGGCACATCTGTTAGTTTGAATACAGATGTCGCATACATGCCCTGGTCTCAATCAACTGTCTACCTCTATCTCAAGTCTTTCTGTCTGCCAGCTGTGCGTTGGTGAATGGAAAACTTGGAACTCGATTGACCCTTTTGCTTTTTTGATATCATCATATTATCCAGGCCAAGGCTGAAACACCTTTACACGTGCTTCTGATCAATGCTCAGTTCATTATACCCCTTCGTGTCCCTCCTAATTATGTGCCCTTCAATGAAAATGCATACAGACAGACGGAGATTGGCTCGGTTTGTTGTAAACATGCCTCCGTGTGCACATTTTTTCATTTGGGAGAGAGTTTGGGTTTGTTTTTAATAGTGAAAGACCTGAAATGGTATTTGCTTGTGATGTGATAATCAGAATGGGCTCGTTGCCCCGACTACAAAAAGCCTGCCATAAACAACTATGGATTGTGTTCTTTATTAAATGGAGAGTTCAGAGAAAAGGGAAACATTTTGTCTACTTGCACACTATCAGACTGTTTCTTTGTTGAGAGTAAGTACTGTGTCATTTTATTCCCTTGTAGGAGGACATAGATCATAACTACTACACCTCAAAGACTTATGGTCCCAGTGACCCTATGAGCAGAGAATTGTGGGTAAATATTGATCAGATGGACAAGGAGAAGGTGAAGATTCATGGCATACTGTCTAATACACACAGACAAGCAGCGGTAAGAGAGCATTTATTCACTCATTTATTATCTGTCACACTTGTAAAATGTGTTTGTTGTACACTGTAAAACCCAACAGTCAACTTTATCAAATGAAATGAGTGTAGTTAACTCAAAATTGACTGAAAGTTAATTCAACTCATTTGAAAAGAGTTTTGAACTCAGTGTTGAAGGTAATGAGCTAATTATAAACCTCATTACTTCAATTTAAATGGATAAAGTTCACAGTACTCATATAGATCAGTTTTTAACTCAAATGGTTTGTAGCAATCGGTTTAATCAAATGGTTTGAGTTGCCTTAACTAATTAGGTTTTACAGTACTCAATTGGTTTGAGTTCCCTTCATTTATTGGGTTTACTGTGCTCAAATTGCTTCATTACTTAAATGGATTAAGTTCACAGTACTCATCAGGATTAGTTTTTGAACTAAAATGGTTTGTTGCAATCGGTTTTCTCAAACGGTTTGAGTTACATTCATCACAGTGATAAATGGCCAAAATGGCTATAAATATGAACATAAATGAATAGCCTACAAACATGCTGAAAAATATATTGTTGAGTGCACACACTTGCTAAGGGACTGAAGTCGGTAGTCCTAAACAAGTGTTCATCATTAAATGATCATTAAAGAGACAGTTCACCAAAAATGTTATTTACTTTTCAAGCTTGTTTCAAGCCTGCTTTGAGTTTATTTCTTCTGTTGAACACAAAAGAAAATACTTGAAAAATGTTAAAAACTTGTGGCCACACTTAAAAAATAACTCATTGGATAAACTCAATTTAATTGAAGGCAGGATTTCATCCAACAAATTTGTTTAACATTAATTAAAAAAAAAACTATTTACTCAATTAAATGCATTTAAGTTTTTCCAAAATGATTTTATCAAATAAAAGTTTAAATATATTTGTATTTTTATTTAACTTAAACTCAAAGGTCTGATAATATCATGTATGTCTATTATGTGTCGTACATTTCAAAGTATCTTGGTTATATTTGAAGATAACCTAAATAAGCTAAAAGCAAATTTCATGAGTTAAATATATTGTTGATTGAGACTGATAACAGCTGATATCAGTGCTAGAGCAGTGGGCCAATAAGAAAAGCGCGAAGGCGGGGCAATCCTTACGGGCTTGGCTTTGTTTACTGCAGCAAGTTGACATGACAACTATTTTAAAACATTACTGAGCGCTGCGTTTGCCGTTTGAAGTGCAGAGATGCATTCTGCGTGAATGTCTCCCAAATCCGCGCATGTGGTGAACATTTTGCAGTAAAAACTGGCTGCACACAACAATTTTATGCACTCGCACAAATGCTCCCAAATATTTTTTGAGGTCGCATAGACAAAATTTCGGGCGCATATGCAACCAAAATGGTCGCAATTTCGAGCCCTATAAGGTCTGATTTCTTTAAAAAAAAAAAATCTGCGATCTTTACTGCCTGATAGATATACGATATAAATTGGGTCTCAGACCAGACATTAAATTTCATTTTTCCCCGCCATGCCTTAAAAATATAAAATTAATTTTACTTCAGTATTTTAAAATGGAGTTTTTGCGCTAGCCTGCTGGTACGACACTATCAATTACACGGTCTTTTAGCTTGTTTTACGCTTGAACAAATGAATGCTTAAGTTTATTGAACTAAATGTATTTTAACAACATTACGGTATAGATACTGTTAAAGGAAACTTATAAAATTTAGAATAGTCACTGAAACCTTTACCGATAGTTTACCGTTTGCTGAAAAACACAAGTTGTGCATATACCCTATTGGGTCAACGCAATTCCTTCATATTGTCCCAACACAAAACGCTTAAGTTAACTTAATGATTTACATATTTAAGTGGACTGAACATAAAACTAATAAATTAGCCAAAGAAATTGCAACAATTGTGTTGTTTCAACTCATTTTAAACATGTATTTTGAACAAGCAGTAGTAATCCCTTTTTTGAGTGCATTTACTTCCATAGTAATTGTTTTTCTTGCTCTAGATGTCATTAGTTGTTTTTATCCAAAAGATGAAAACTAAACTTATGTGCAAAACTGGAATATTTTGTAGAAAAATGTCAAATAAAGCCATCCATTTTCCATCCCGTGATTCAAAGAGAACAAAACTGTAACTTACTGATAAACTGCCACCAAATATCAAAAAGAAAAATGGAATTCACTGGGGAATGTTTTCTTATATAATCAATTATTTGCACTTCAGAAGATGAAACGCAATGAATGAACGGGCTTTTAGAAATGCAAAACCACTCTGTGGAACCACAGCTTCTCAAGACTATGTGAGATTTTGATGACGGACTCTGGCTAAGGCATTTTAAAATGACCAAAACAACATTTCAGATGTTGTGCAATGTGGTCAGTCCTCTGGTTTGTCTATTAAATGCGCCCCAGATCCGACATGAAAGCAGATTATCATTGTGCTTTATAAAATGTCTTAATTTACCTGTTAAATTAAAATCACATGATGTTTTTCGATGCAAATGCCTGAATTTATTCTGTAAATGTGTTCCTATTGTAGTTTTTATGCACATCTTGCCATTTCCATTAAGCATTTTTATGCATTTTTATATATAAAAATGTGCGTAAAAATATAGGTTGATGGAAACAATTATTGATTTATTTATTTCCTTCAGTTTAGTCCCTTTATTTATCAGGGGTTGCTACAGTGGAATAAACCGGCAACTTGTCCAGCAAATGTTTCACACAGTGAATGCCTTTCCAGCTGCAACCCAGTACTGGGAAACACTCTCAGAATTACACTACGGCCAATTTAGCTTTATTCAATTCACCTATAGCGCATGTCTTTGGACTATCTGGGAAACCGAAGCACCTGGCGGAACATGGAGAGAACATGCAAACTCCACATTGAAACGCCAACTGACCCACTTGGGACTCAAACCAGTTGCCTTCTTGCTGTGAGGCAACAGTGCTAACCACTAAGCCACCGTGTCGCCCCTTGATGGAAACATACTATATCTTAAACTTTCAGTTTCCAGAATTATTCAATATATATCTTCCTTTGTGTTTAACAGAAGAAGGATACTCAAACAGGTTTAGAAGAAGTGGATGACAAGTAAATTTTGAAAAGTTTCACTTTTAGGTGGGCTATCCCTTCATGTAAGTCATGCTAGAATACATTTTTGCCTCAACAATAAAGCGTACTTCTCAACTTAATGTTTTTAACACTGAGCAACTAAAGTGCTTGAGTACAAGTCAAAAGAAAATAACGCAAGATTTAAAATTATGAAGGTGAATCTGGAATTCCTGATGACTTATTTATGCAATTTAAGCTTTTTTAGGAGACAATACATTTATTTGTCATGCACCTCAAAATAGCGACAAGCATATTACAGACTACATAAAGGGTGGTATTTGAAAAAAATCATAATAGCAGCACTTTTTAAAAAACTCATTTTCAAATAGTTTGGCGTAGTCTACCCAAAAACACTTATCCGCAGACTATTGAATCAAACCCACAGCTTTCAGCGGTTTGTTTCTTCATGAGTTATATGAAACATTTCTATGTTATTATAAATTGTCTTGTCAGAAGAGAAAGATTGGCAGAAGAGAAAAGACTCACAGCAATAGTTCAAAAGTTTGGGTTCTGTAAGATTTTAAATAACAATAAAATAATAAAAATAGTAATAATGATAATAATAATAATAATAATAATAATAATAATAATAGTAATAATCCTGTTATTTGTTGTTTGGGTATAGGTGTGTATGCTTTTGTGGATTATGAAGGAAACATACAGTACCAAGTGCTGATCCCTGAGTGCCAGATTTCTCAGAAATATGATCAGATTTTGGTGCGTCGCCATCCCATTACTGGAACGGACTTCGATATCCCCACACTGCACTTTCCAAACAAAAGAAACCGCAGCAGACAGGCGCAGCGTAGATTTAGGAGAAAAGTCAAATTTATTAGCAGAGTTATGCTTGCTTTAGTTGACCACAGAATGAGTCCACGGGGTCTGTCTGGATGTACTGTACACTTGTTGTGTGTTTCATTCTCTATTCACCACCTCTCTCTGAGACTATTCGTTTTACATTGATTCTGCTTGTTTTTTCACTAACTGCAAGCTAAACAGTGTCTTCTTTTCCTCCCCAGAGGGTCAATCTGTCCTTTGATTTTCCATTCTATGGGCATTTGTTGCGAGAGATCACTGTTGCAACCGGCGGTAAGTAAACAGCAGTGAATTGAGCTCAATCGGTGAGGTTACATGAAAGCATCAGCCTGCCTTACTGCGATATGAGTATTATATGGCTGAAGCAGAACATATGATGTATATGAGCTTGAAGAGGAATCTATAATTGATTGGTTCTTGCTTGTAGGCATAAGAGCTTGACTGTGAGTCACACTAATGTTCTTGGGCATCCGGATGTGTTTATCAGCTGTCAGAGGCTCTTCTTAATAATGGCTGACTTGTGCGGCTGGAGATATGAGGGCATGTGTGGGGATTTTTATTATGATCGTGGTTCATGTGACTCACTGGCTGCTGGAATGCATCTGAGATGAAGCGGCGGGTGAGAGGGGAAGATAGAGAGAAAAAACCACCATATAATTTCTCCCTGTAATTACATCAGCCATCGCTCTGCGGTTATGAACGGTGAGGCACAAGTGATCTAAATTTCCCAGTTTTCCCAGACACTTTCTGGTGATTGAAAAATCATGCACTGTATCGGTGATAATAAAGGTACTTTCCTGCCTTACGAAAGAAACTGGATTATTAACTTTTGAGTGTCCAGAACACAGTACTTCAAGTGTCAACTTTTTGACATACGTTATTTGCACTCCTTCAGCCTACCATTGTCTGTCTGAGCCGGACATAATTACAAAAGAAACTTCTTTGGTAACTGGGACAGTGAAGGAGTAAGGGCAGTAACTTTGTCTTTTGAGATACATTTTCATACATGATCACATTGTTTCTGTCTCAGCTGAAAATTTTGTTTTTTTTATTACATTGATTTCATATCATATCATTTGTGATTATAAAAAAAAAACTGAGGTGCAGTTTTTATCTGCACTAAACATAATAGATAGATAATGTAAATAATTATCTAATTATTAAAAGAGTGTAACAATAACACTATGATAAACAGTATGTTTCCTTAATATATAAGGTCAATAACTGTGTTATTTAAAGCAATTTAAGAGTAAAATATTGTTAATTTAAAGGTTTTTGGAAGTGAAAATCAACAAGTGTGGAGTATACAATGAAACAATTATGATGTTTTTGACTATAATTACTATTTCTTTTTACTTATTTCTTCTTATTTAGAGTCATGTGTATAATAATGATTTTTGGAAATACTTTTTACTGAGTCTCTGCACAATAATATAAAAAATAATTTATTATAAAACGAAGATAAAATAATTTACATGACATTTAGGCTACCTCAAGTATGCAGATATCTGCAAAAAAGTTTTTTTTTTAACTAAATATATAATAAAACATCTGTATTATCGTTAGTCCTGAACAAGTAACAGTCGATATTTGGAACAAAGCTGAACTACTCTAAATGAAACCAAATTCATTATTAAAGGGCACCTTTTTTTTACGTCTTTTCAAGATTTAAGTCTTTTGTGTCTGTAGAATGTGCCTGTGCTGGTTTTCCAAGAGTGTGTCTCAATTTCTGGCTGCGTCAGATAAACAGCACAGTAACAGACGTGAAGGAGGCAGATCTCACCTAATGTTTATAAGAAATACTACATTAAGAACAATCCCAATGATTATTTGATGTATTTGTTGTGGAGTTAATTCAAATCTTTCTTTCTTTCTTCTCAAGTTGAACACAAACAATATTTTTACTTGATCTACGAATGTTTAGATATTTAGACCAAAAAAGCAAAGCAAAAAAAGAAAAGCCTTTATTCCATTGTAATTATTCAATTTCTGCATCTGAAAACTGTTAGACTCCCCAGAAAACCATCAACTATTCAAACTGTCTTGCTAAATTGTATTTATGTTGCAACATTTAATGCAGAAAAGAAAAATATGGCAATATAATTTTTTCCAATATCATGCAACCCTATTTGTGAAGATCCTTTAGTTTATGAATGCCATAATCAATATGAGTTGAAAATGTGTTTGTTTTTTCCTGTTGTGAAATATATTATAACGATTAAATGTTCAATTGAGCTGGATTTAATGGGTTTATAAGTGCACGTGTGTTTATAGTGGGGTGGTCAGCAGAGTCCATGTTGGCTGATCTCCTGTGGAAAGATTTGCATTGATTTAAGCAAACAAATGCATTATTAGATTACGTATGCATGTTTGGAAAGTCCTCTCTGCTTTTGGTGAGTGGTGTGGAAGCAGGCATTTATATGGCTAATTAGAGAATTAATCACTTTGGAGACAAGCCAGGGCTGCTTGCCAGGATGGATAGATGAGGAAGAAGGAGAGAACAGAGATTAAGAAAAGGCAAGAGAAGCACATGTTCATGCATTGGTGCCAAAAACATTTCATCCATAAATAAACTCAGTGCTTTTATCTTATTTCCATCCTAAATAAGACTTTTTTTCCTTTTCAGAATGCATTGATATGTACTGTAATAGTCTGTATTGTGTGTGCTTTCAGGGTTCATCTACACAGGAGATGTGGTTCACCGAATGTTGACAGCCACACAATATATCGCTCCACTTATGGCAAACTTTGACCCCAGCCTGTCGAGAAACTCAACCGTCATCTATTTTGACAATGGTGAGAGATAGAGCCTGCACTGACTGACTGACTGTGTGTGCTTGTGTGTTTGCGTGAATGTATGCATTCCATTTTGAGTGAAACTGAGATACACAGAGGGTGACAGTAATAAATAATGGAAATATACCATAATATAGACTTGAAAAAGAAATAGTTGACACATAATTTAATTATGACACACATTTCCACTCATGTGATTCAACTTATTTTTGGCAAAGGGAACCAAAGGATGGAAGGATGGAAAATATGATCTGCACCCTTGCGCATGGTCTAAAAGAGTTGTGCTTATTCTCTTAATGAGTTATGGGTGTGTTTTGAGCATAACGTGCATTAAATTAATTCTCATCTCAAGTTCCCTGCGAGAGTCAGTTGCGTTGTGTCATGGCACATTTGCTATTTACACTGCAGACTTTGTAAGTGGAAAAACTGAACTCTTCAATAGTGAGACAACACTTTAACAGACCATCTGCAGCGCAAGGATAAAGAACGAGCCTCCTCCATTTGGCATCTTTACCTTCTCTTTACTTTACTCTTAACTTTGCTTTTTTACTTTCGTGGATAAAGAAATGGTGTTTTATGCACTTTACTGAAGACATCCATTAGCCTTTATATTTAATTTTGTTTGGTAAGCGCAAAGATTTGTTTTAAAACTACTTCTAAATAATGCTCCATATTGTGATACAGACAGGTGGACAAATATGCATATAATAAATAATACTGCTAATAATAATAACATTTTGCAAGTGTTGTAAGTATGCAAGTTATGTAAGTGTTTAAACCTGCATAAGTGTATAACTAACGTGCTCTGTGCTGGACTTTAGACCAGGTTTTAGCTGGTCAACGGCGCAGTCTATTTCAGTTTCTCAAAATAGCAATGTGCCTTAACAAATCTTCTTTTTAGACCGGCACACCAATGAGTCCACAAAGGGGCTCAAATGTATTTGCTATTTAAACAACATGAAAATTAGGGTTCTGCTGGTCTGAAAATAGCAACAAATCGCGCCAAACATGTCTTGCTCCTTATTGCACTGGGTGTATGATATGTCTTAGATGGTCTTTTCCTAAGAGACATCTAAGATTACCTTCATTGTCATCATTTTCCCCTCATTCTCCAACACAGTTCTTTCATTTTTAATTTATTTAGTAGAATAGTGTTGCTTCAGCTCATTTTAAGCTTGCAGTTTGAACAAGTTTCATTCATTATTCTGTTCATTATTCTGTATCATATAGTATATAGAACTACCAGTCTTCACACATAAAAAACTGGACTTTTCATAAATCAAATATGTCATTTATTGATCAAGTTATACTTTCAAGATGTTCATATGAAGCCTGTAATATTAATATTGAATGTTACAATTGCATGGTGTGTATGTGTGTTTTATAGGAACGGCTTTGGTTGTCCAGTGGGATCACGTTCATCTTCAGGATTCTTATAATCTGGGAAGTTTCACCTTTCAGGCCACATTACACAATGATGGACGAATTGTGTTTGCTTACAAAGAGGTCTGATATTTTTTGTGTTTCGTTTTTCATCCTCCATGTGTCTTTGATTCTGTTTTCTGTTTTTCTCGGCCTCTGTAAATCGTCTCTTCTGTGATTACTTTCTGTTCCATCAGAGTTTGTGTGGTTTTGTCAGTGCCATTCTTTTTTCAATTTGCCTTTTACAAACACAGTCGGGCACCATGCAATGTCAAATTGAAATGAAACCAGTTCAGTTAAAATATTCCAACAGCATTAGTACAAACCAAATGCAATCACACGTGAAAATAAAATGCTCTCATCCTGTTTATTCATTCATTCATTCATTCATTTTCTTGTCGGCTTAGTCCCTTTATTTATCCGGGGTCGCCACAGTGTAATGAACCGCCAACTTATCCAGCACGTTTTTACGCAGTGGATGCCCTTCCAGCCGCAAACCATCTCTGGGAAACAGAATCCACACACACATTCACACACACTCATACACTACGGACAATTTAGCCTACCCAATTCACCTGTACCGCATGTCTTTGGAATGTGGGGGAAATATGAGCACCCGGAGGAAACCCACGTGAACGCAGGGAGAACATGCAAACTCCACATAGAAATGCCAACTGACTCAGCTAAGACTCGAACCAGCGACCTTCTTGCTGACAGTGCTAACCACTGAGCCACAAACATCTAATTTTACATCTCATATATTTAAGTTAGCAATAAGTTATTCAAGCAAGCAATGAGTGCAAATTTAAAAGGGCTGTTTTGTCCCAAATAGCTCAACTGCACATGTGATATTGATTCTGTTCAACAGTTATATTTTAGACACAACCTTGTCTGTTTTATTTTTGAATGAATTAACATTCTTAATGAACCAAGTGAACCTGAGCCATTTCTAAATCCAAATACTAATTCATATGCAACTTCTGCAAGCTTGTGTGTAATTAATTCTGTTTAATCAAATAATTTATTTTTAAAGCTGCTTTTTGTAAAGACTGTGATACTTTTTGCATTTAACACACTTAATTTGGGTAATTTCTGCACAACATTTTATATGTAGTTAAATTACATATTTTAAATATTATTCATTCATTCACTCATTCATTTTTGTTAGGCTTAGTCCCTTATTAATCAGGGGTCGCCAAAAAAATTCTACAAAATTGCCACGACATGAACTGCCAACTTATCCAGCATAAGTTTTACACAGCGGATGCCCTTCCAGCCGCAACACAGTACTGGGAAGCACCCATACACAGTTATTCACACACATACACTACGGCCAATTTAGCTTATTCATTTCCCCTATACTTCATGTCTTATAGGATTATGGGGGAAACTGGAGCACCCCATGGAAACCCATGACATTCTTGCTGTGAGGCGGTTGTGCTAAACATTAAGCCCCTGTGTCACCATTGTAAATATTACATTTCTTAAATTAAATAAATAAAAACTACTTATACATTGAATATTCCTTAGATTGTCAAATATGACATATGAGTTGCAAAAACCCATAACAAAAATGTTTACTATGTATGTGTAATGTTGTTGATAGAAATATATAACAAAATGGTAAGCCTCTAGTCAGAAGGCATTCTTGGGAATGCTGCTGAGATTGATTTGATTATTGCAAAACTCATTCAGCCCGCAAATCTCCTAACTGAATTAGGCTCCTTTCGCTTTGCATTTCTGCATTACACACTCCATATATTCCCTTTCTTTCTTTCTTTCTTTCTTTCTTTCTTTCTTTCTTTCTTTCTTTCTTTCTTCTTTTTTGTTTGTTTCTTTATTTTTCTTCTTTTTGTTTGTTTTCTTTCTTCTGTATTTTCCGTTTGCTTTTTGCTTTTTTGTTTGTTTGTTAGTTTCTTCTTTTTTCTTTCTTTCTCCTTTCTTTTTGTTTGTTTCTTTCTTTCTTTTTTGTTTGTCTGTTTGGTTCTTTCTTTCTTTCTTTCTTTCTTCTTTTTTCTTTCTTTGTTTCTTCTTTCTTTATTTCATTTTCTTTTTTTCTTTGTTTGTTTTTTCTTTCTTTTTTCTTTGATTGTTTCTTTCTTTTTCTTTTTGTTTGTTTTCTTCTATATTTTTTGTTAGATTTTTTTCTTTCTTATTTTTTGTGTGACTCTTTCTTTCTTTCTTTCTTCCTTCTTTTTTCTTTCTGTCTTTCTCCTTTCTTTCATTCGTTCTTCATTTTTGCTTGTTTGTTTGTTTCTTTTTTGTTTGTTTATTTTTTCTTTCTTCTTTTTGTTTCTTTGTTTCTTCTTTCTTTGTTTTATGTTTTTTTTTCTTTGTTTGTTTCTTTTTCTCTTTTTGTTTGTTTTCTTTCTTTAGTATTTTTTTGTTTGTTTTTTCTTTTTTGTTTGATTGTTTCTTTCATTCTGTCTTTTCTCCTTTTTTGTTTGTCTGTTTCTTTCTTTTTTCTTTTTTGCTTGTTTGTTTCTTTCTTTTTTGTTTGTTTCTTTTTTGTTTGTTTGTTTCTTTCTTTCTTTTTTCTTTCTTCTTTTTGTTTGTTTGTTTCTTTTTTGTTTGTTTGTTTCTTTTTTGTTTGGTTTTTTTTGTTTCTTTCTTTCTTTTTTTCTTTCTTTTTTGTTTGTTTGTTTGTTTCCTTCCAAATTTACCAGTTCATGTCACAGTAAATTACATAAACAATGTTTTTATTTCAGGTGCCAGTACAGATCGCAAAGATAAGCTCTGTCAATCATCCAGTAAAGGTTGGGCTTTCTGATGCTTTTGTGGTGGTCCACAAGATTCAGCAGATCCCTAGTGAGTGAAAAACACCAAATACCAAACCCACACACACACACACACACACACACACACACACACACACACACACACACACACACACACACACACACAAATAATGTATCAAAACACCAGCAAACCATCTGCATATTCTTCATGTGTGTTGTTTTCTGAGACGTGAGTTGATGGCTGGATTTGACAGATGCTCTTCAGCCTTCCAGACAACTGTGAATATGTTTGTTCTGACAGTCAAGTACTTCAGGGACGAATTCAAACCTCCATCTTCATTCATTCTCAGGATGTCTGTTTGTTGTCTGCCGTACCCAGCAGGAACAGTCTTTGATGTAGTAGTAACTGTGAGCCCAGCAGGACCAAACCTGAGCTGAAATTAGCAGATAAATATGTCTGGAGTCGGGCAGTGAGTGAGTGTGTTTGAGGAGAGGAGCTGTTTGCTGTCGGGACGTCATGAATGGAGGCTTATGATTTTCCAAGACAGCTTATTCTTTCCGAGCGTATGTTTGTTTGTGACTGTCGGCTGAGAAAGGTCAGGATTTGCATCATTCTGTCGTTCTGTCTGTCACAATATGGGAAGAGACGACTCTGAGGGGAAGATGAGAATGAGATAGACTTACTGTGAGAGCTTAATAGTTAAGCTACCCGTTGGCTAATTAGTGTCTGGAGACTCATCAGGTGACACTGTTTAAGATGCTCTCACGAAGACTTACGTTTCTCCAGGCAATATCAGCATGCTACTGAGGAGTTTTCTGACACCCCATGGGCAAGAAATGTAATTACCCACAGGAAGAGAAAAACAGCCTTCAATGAACAAGCTGCAATTTCCTGCCTTGAAGTTTAGCCTCTCTTTTATGTATTAATACACTGGAGATGTGGGTTCCAGCAAGGTCAGGCAGTTACTTCCTCAGCTGCAGACAAACAGTCACTTTATCTGAGAGATACACTGACCTGCCGTGCACATTCAGCTGGAGAGCTGACACATGAAAAGCCACACACACTCACAAAAGCAGTTGGGTTTGACTTTGACTCATGGGCATCCAGTCTTGTTTGTTGAGGGCCACTGCCTAACATAAATTAGTGTCAACTCAAAATAAATCATCTGAACCATAACATTTCTGTAGTTCTGACTAGACAACAATCAATTAAATTGGAACTGTTCGTCCTCGAATTGGGCTAATACATTTCTGTAGCAACAGTCGGCAAAATGAATCTGTGTAAACTCAACTTTGCTGCATGTCTTTAGTTTAATTTCACTTTTGTTTGAATTAGGGATGTAACAAAGGAAAAATTCTGGTTAATGAGGTTAAAAATGGTGTTAAGTTTCTAGCCAGTTTAGATTATGTTATGTTATGTTTGACAAATTATGATTACTCAAGTTCCAACTTGCAACTCACAACTTTATGTAATCTGTGTACATTTAGCACACATACTCTGTTGGTAATGTGTATTATTAAATATACAGCTTAATTACGCAGCACCTGGGCATTTACTTCCAACACACATCCAGGGGTTGAACCATGAAACTGAAATGAAACATTTGACCAGCCTGGTGGCCAATCTTCATTGATTGCACGTTCCACCAGTAAGAGCAAAGTGTGATGGTTTAATTCGCAGAGTAGTATCACAGTTCTGCTTAAAATATTACAAGGCACACAACATTATAGGTCACATATCAAAGTTCAAAAGAGGACATATTGTTGGTTAGAATTCAGAGTGTGAAATGTCAGTGTATGAACACCCTGGATGAATTGTTAACCTCAGGTAAATTATGAACCAAGTGTAGCAATAATATCCCATGACACCGTCTAGATTTTTGGTGATTTAATTCAGTGTGGAAAGCCTTTATAAATCTGTACACATCGAGAAATCTTGCTACAGTACACAGCCTGTCTTCATTCTAATTCAATTTTCCATTTCACTGCTTTTAGGCAATTCAGCTACCAGTCACGTAGATGGGTTATAACTGAATGCATCTGTATTGCAGCCTTATTCATGCATGCGTGTACATGCATTTGATCCAGTATGTGTCAGTGATGGTGGGCTTAACTTTAACTCGGAGACCATTATATACTGTTGAAGTCAGAATTATTAGCCCTTTTGAATTATTAGCCCCCCTTTTTATTTTTTCTCCGTTTTCTGTTTAACGGAGAGATTTTTCAACACATTTCTAAACATAATAGTTTTAATAACTCATCTCTAATAACTGATTTATTTTTTAGATTTATTATGATAGAACAATATTTGGCAAAGAAGTGACTGTTGGAAATCTGGAATATAAGGGTTACAAAAATCAAAATAGAGAGAAAATTGCCTTTAACATTTTCAATTTTCAATTTTTTTTTTTCAATTTTTTTCAAATTTCTAAACTATTTTTAATAAATATTTACATTGAGAATTTTACAAAATATCTTCATGGAACATGATTTTAGACTATATGGTGACACATTTTCAAGGATAAAGGGATAAATGAGTAAAGGAATAGTAGGAAAATGTCATTTTTAATTTATTTATCCAATATTTATGTGACTTTTTTTCTCTTAGTATAACTTTTTTATCTGAAACTTTGGTTCTTGGGGATTTAGACTATGATGCAAGTCAACAGCTTTTGGTTTTATTTAAAAAAAAACATAAAGAAGAAACTAAAAGGCAATGTTGTAAATAATGAGATATGTTGAATCCTTCTGTAACATTAACTACTGGTGTCTCTGTGGGACAGAAAAACACTTTAAATATGTAAATATTTTCTGTAATATTTCCAATTGGTGCTGTTTTATTTTTGCTCTGTGGAAAAATACCCTGCTCTCCTTGGCAGAAAATCATTTTAAACTTCAAGCAGCATAACAGACTGTTTTAGTACATCTAAATTAACTGGAAGTGGCTCATACCAGAAGTCTTGCACATTCAAGTCACGAATGACCATTAAAAATGAGGTGGATAAGTTAAAAGTATGATAAATGTGTTGTACTTGAAACTCAACAACTCTCTCTCTCACTAGTTCCTTGTGCAAGACAGCAGTTCAGCAATCCAAATGATTCCCATGCTAACTGTAATATTTATCTGTGTGACACTAGATGTGCGGAGGAAGACTATCTATGAGTACCACAGAGTGGAGCTGTTAAAGACCAAAATTACCAACTCTACAGCTGTGGAAATGATGCCACTACGCAGTAAGCCAATGAAAATACACACACTCAAATACACAAACTTACAATATTTTAAAATATAAATGCCATGTTCCTTATACTGTTTCATTTATATATATATATATATGAAAGCTTTATATCAGAGGTGCCAAAAGTAGAGAATCCCATCTGAAAAGAGAGGGAGAATGATGGGGAGTTGGTTGGGGCAAATGCCTTTGACAGAGATCATCATTTCAAATTTAACGTAACCTTTAGTTTCTTTGTTTAATTGAGGAGCTACAAAAAATTTATGTTTCAGTTAATTGTTGCTAATCAAGGGTGCCCAAACCCGATCCTGGGGGACTGTGTCCTACATAATTTGGTTTCAACCCCAGCTAATCAAGCTCTTATTAGGCTGCCTAGAAACATCCATGCAGGTGTGTTGAGACAAGTTGAAGCTAAACTCAACAGGACACCAGCCCTCAAGGCCCGAGTTCGGACACCCCTGTTGTAAATAAATCAGACTTTTAAAATGTAAATAATGCCACTTTACAAATGAGGAGAATGCACAAGTTGAGCAAATCAAGACAAAGGCAGGAGCAGCTTGACTAGTGTATTCAGCGTTGAACTCCAGTGTGTTATAAATGGGATTGTTTAGGTTTGTATTATAATGATTTCATCATAAAATGTAAAAAAGGATACTGCATCTTTAATTATTACAGTATGTTAATTTATGTAAGTTTTCTAGCAAATAAATTAGGAAACCAACCATGGCAAATTTAAAGTATATGGTTTGGTATACTTACCTTTGGCCCACAGATCTCAATCAAATTTGGTTTTTGGCTTTTTAAAAGAAAAAAATTGGGCACCCCAGTTTTATATCATAGCGTACATGTACAGACATTCAACATGCTCATCCTCATGCAGTGTCTGAGCTTTTTTCTGCAAAATTTAATTGCAATAATATATCTTTGTACTCATTTTAAGAAGAACTGCAGTATTTTGTCTTCAGCATTATGTCCATTTCTTTCCCCTCTGTAAAGCCACAATTTAAAGCTTACATCTGATCTGATCATAATGTATTCTGAGCACACGTTACTGATGATCACATACAAAAGCCATGTTGTGCAAACGGTTTGAGGACAAAACAGATCTCCCCAAAAATAGCTGAAGTATACTTTGGCCTGTACATTTTTTTGCAATGTTAGATTTTCATAATAGACTGTATACTGAACATTTCTCTTAGGTCATACAGTGCTCAGCATAATTTTAGTACAGCCCATTTTAAAATTAATAGTTGTATCAATTTCTCAGTGAATATAGGCAATGTATTTTGGTGCATATAAACAAAATAATATTTATTAAAGTAATATTTTCTTCATCAAACATATTTATAAATCGAAAGATAATGCAATTCAATTCAAACGAAAAGTCGCAAAAATAAAATTACAACCTATAAAATTTCAAGTAAATGTTAAATTATTTTGCATCTCTTGATTTTTCCTCTTTTTTAAATTTGTATTTAATATTTTTCTATAACATGTACATTTGGGTGTACTAGTTTTTGGAGTGTTATTGTAAGTTATTTTGTTAGATTAGCTCCAGTTTTGGCTTCAGTACTGACTAATCTAATATGCACAAATATAACATTGTATAGCTTCCTATTAAATATATGAATTGAAAAGATAGATTTGAGAAGAATGTACTTATAAGCTGTAAAGAAAATCGTTATTTTACTTTTTTCAGCAGCTGGGGTAAAATAATAATATAATGACGGTTAAATCACAGAAATTAACCGTAAAATAATGGACCGTAAGCTACCGCCATTTCCTTAAATTTAGATTTCCGTTATTTGCAAAGTCTGTTATTTTACAGTAAATGTCTGTAATTTAAAAGCTGCCAGAAAAAAAGTAAAACAACAAATTTTTTTAAGTTTATGCTGAGCGCTATATGAAAGTCCAGTTCATTGTTAGATTAGGCTTTTGGTTTATACACAACTGGTTCTGTGCTTACGTGTTTTACATGTTTCTTTCTTTCTCTTTCACAGCATGTCTTCAATTCACAAGCTGCACTTCTTGCATAGCATCACAGATTAACTTCAACTGCAGCTGGTGTCACCGGCTCAATAGGTGAGAAAACAAGTCTCCTTCATTTCTCTCTTCACTAGTCTAATGCCATTTTGCTGGAATTAAAGATGCCTGGAGGTGGTGCAGTGAACGAGGGGAGTAATTTACATTTTACAAGTTCTGTCAGCAGTTACTGAAACAGAAGTGCTCCCGACACAGACATTCACGAGATGTGCAGAAAGAATTCACCACTTCTGATTCAGCAGCCACACAGAGTTATAAGATGCCTCAGTATTTAGAGATAGACTAAAATCAAAAAAACTGTAAACATCACACGTAAACGACTGCATTAATGAAATACCTCTTACATTACATATTTCCAAAATAACACCAAAGTGACATTGAGTCTTTTATACCAGGACTGCTTTTTTCTTTTCTTAAAGTGCGAAAGAGGAAAAATAAAGTCGCATTCCTGCCGATTCATGCCCGGGCTCTCTCACCTCCTGAGCCCAGACAGCTTTACTCTGTAGATCACATACCAAAGAACAGACGAGACCGAGACGCCCGACCCCCTTCTGCTTTATTTTCCTGGCAATCTTTCCATCTGCAGACTTTCAATCCCTCGCTCTTATTCTCAGGCAGATATATGCACACCCACACGCATACTTAATTTCTCACGGATTCAGGAGTATAAAATCCCAGTTGGTGTTTATTGTGAGATTTAGGTATTGAGGTCTTTGTACAGGTTTCAGTTTTCGGTTTATGAAGTGCTTATGAATTTCAAGACGCAGCATTTATCTGTGCACGTGTTATTGTTCAATAAATCATTACAGAGTGCTCCTATGATGCTTTTCTTTTAAAGCTTCCTCCTAATTTTGTTTTGGATGTCAGTTACAATATAATTTTATACACACAAGTTTGAGAAACAGCTTATTTGTTGATAATTCACATTTAAAATAACCTACTATATTCAGTAGTTGAACAAAACTTTTTAAAAACTAATCTCTTTCACTATGTCTAATGTCTAGGGAGCAGATGAAGAGTTGTATTTAATTTATAGCAACTGTTGACCTATAGGGGTATATAGATTGATTCATTCATTCATTCATTTACTTTTCAGCTTAGTCTCTTTATTAATCCGGGGTCGCCACAGCGGAATGATCTGTCAATTTATCCAGCATATGTTTTTAATCAGCGAATGCCCTTCCAGCTGCAACCCATCACTGGGAAACACCTATACACTCTCATTCACACATATACACTATGGACAATTTTAGCTTACCCAATTCACCTGTACCACATGTCTTTGGTTTGTTGGGGAAACCGGTCATCAGAACCCAACATCAATGTCTAACATCCAACCTACAATTATTCAAATATTAGCATCTAATGATGTGACAGATTGATTTTGTGTGGACGTTACCACTATGACACCTATCAGACATTGAATTTTGATTGCCATACCTGACGAATAAATTACTGTATTTGATGTCAGTATGGGGTTGGTTTAAATGATGGCTTGACATTGGATTTTGGTCATTTTCCAACACAACCTAAAATCAACCAAATATCAACATCTAATGATGTTACAGCTTGACGTTGTGTGTGCGTTAGTACTATATCTGTCGGACGGATTTTGGATTTTGGTTGCCATACCTGACAACTGAATGTCTGTATTTGATGTCAATGTGAAGTTGGTTTAAGATGTTGCCCAGACGTTGGATTTTGGTCACTTTCCAACACAACCTAAAATCACCAGATATCAGATATAACCAGAAATCAACGTCATTTGATGTCATTATTAGACGTCATATTAGTGTTATCCTTAGATGCTGCCTAGACATTAAAATTTAGTCACCTGATGTCTGATGCCTGCTGGTATTGGCCTTAAAAAGATCTTTAAAACCTCTTAAATTTACCCGCATAAATCCTGCACAAACCCTTGGCAATTGTACACACTAGCTATGATTCCATCCACCTATTTTTTTTATCCAAAATGTGCATTAAAGACAGTTGATGGAAACGTCAAGATACACATACTTTTTAATGTGCATAAGAAACATATGCTCATAACTAAGTAGGATAAACTTTTTATTTAATAAGAATATATAAACTACGATGAAAACACTTTCACCAAACAAATTCCAGTATGTGCTTAAAAAATGTAGTGATTTTGTTAAAAGAGATCATCTGATGATGAAAATGTGTGTGAATGGACAAACCAGCAGGCTGAGTACACTGGTAAACATCTGAAAAGTTGTTTTGATGATTCTTAAATGCCTTAACTGTTAGAGTTTAGTGTTATTATATTATTAATGACCTCCAGAATTGTCAAGAGCACCTGTCTTTCACGTCTCACGCCTTCAAAAGCCACTACGTGTTCATTGCATGACGGCATCGTCATCTGAGTTGCAAGTCAGTTATTAAATAAAGAAAAGATTGACGCAGCTTCTCCTACCATAGCAAATATATTGATATGTTGATGATATGTTGATATTTGGCGCCAGTTAATCAGGAAGGGATGATTTGTTCTCTTGGATGGAAACGCTGCTTTATTCAATTGTTTTTTATGCAATATTTCAATTTTCCACATCATTAATTTGCATTTTTGGATGGAAACATAGCTACTGTTGTATCAATTCAAGAATCAGTTCAATGATCAAACATTAGGTAATCAGCCTGAACTCCCATCATAAAGACAAGTTAAGCAAGATGGATCCGAGTAGTGTACATACTGCAAATTGGACACAAATAAATTAAGTATAACTGCGGTATTTGGGGGCTAAAGCTGACAATGTTTTTGGGCAGCCAGAGAAGAGATCATGCAAATGTGTTACAGATCTACATACATTAATTACAGAAGTGAACCTCGTTGATGGCCACTCGTTTAGAATAAATTGACTAATATAATAATAATAATAATAATAATTGCTGTGCACTCTGATTATTCTTAAGCACATTACTTTCTACAAAATATAGTATGTCGAAAATTGCATATTAGTTGCGCTTTTAATACATACAGTAACATGATGCACATGCACATCTTCAGTCAGTGGGATCGTGTTTTTTTTCCATCAATCCAAGAAAATGTGCCTCTAAACCGGCTAGACTGGATAATTAAATGGGAAACACAGTCTTGAAATTTCTCCTAGTAGACAAGGGAGTTATATTCAGACTTCATCAATATTCATAACCACGTTTGTTTGGCTGGAGGTTATGGAAACAATGTGCAGTTAGAAATTGCTACTGTAATTAAAGTTTTTTTTTTTTTTTTGGCTTGATAAACACTGTATATGTATGTGTGTGCTTGTGTGCTAGAGAGAGAGAAAGAGCAGGGTAATGATACAGTAAATGCAGGTAACTCAGTTGATTTAAGCTAATAATGACAGCCTGGTCTTCCCAATGCAAATAATAAACATATTGCCCTTTGTCTTTGGAGAAAGGAGATGAGGTCTGATCTGAAGCACACAAAATCCGAAAAAGCAAGTTTTAATTGAGGAGAGGAAGGGTGTCAGACTGTTAGCAGGTGTTGAATATGATATCTTTCATATTTCATTAGGCTGAAATAATGAGATTACTTTAACAGATGAGTCTGTTTGTAACATTACGTGCATCAGAAACATAGATCTGCATTCTCGGAAAAGCCTTCTTTCACCCTGAAGGTCAGATTATTACTGGATGAGAATAAATTTGAGCTGACTGCTTTTGCAGCCATTAACATGTAAATGAGATTATGAAAGGATGGAGAAGTGCTGACGAAGGATGGGCGAACTCAAATCCAGAGAGATGTATTGCACTTTTACTTGTCTTCCTTGTGTGATTCATTGGGGCTCAGGTTAACTGCTTGGGAGAGAAAAGAAAAGCAGGCATAATGACCGTGGCAAAGCTATAAAAGTAAATGACTCAAAATCAAATTTGTTTGGTAAATGTAAGTCCCAGCTAATCCAATATGGTATTATTAGCAAGGACTTTTTATAGATGAAAAGAAAAAAGTAGATAGAAAGTGCTATAGAAAGTGCAAGTATAACAGGTCAAGTGTTGATGGAAATGTCTGCAAATAAATCAGTTATTTGAAATCTAGCTTGGACTTTTTTTTACCTTGTGCATGTTTGAAGCTTGCGTCACTTCTTTTTATACTTTTGTTATTATAAAATAAGATAATCTGATCAGATATTTTTTTAAAAAGAGACCAATCAGGTTTGTTTTGCAAACTATTCATGAACAATAAGTGTCTTTACATCCATAATTATAAATCTGTCTATGTTCAAAATGACAGTTATTACATTAAATAATATAAGGAACAATAAAATACACATTTAGTATGAATTTGTTTTTATGCACACTTATATTATAAGTTATTAATTCTTGTTATTTGTTTTTTATTTTTAATATTAATTTTCCTGCAGGCACAGGACGTCAACATGATGTCCTATTGACGTTGTATGTCATAGGGACGTTGGATTTGTTTGCAAATGAAATTGGGTTGACATCAGAACCCAACGTCAGGCCAATGTCAATGTCCAAAATCCAACCTTAAATCAACCAAATATCAACGTATAATCATGTTACACCTTGACGTTGTGAGGACATTCACTATGACATTTTTGACATATCACTATGACATCTATCAGACGTTGGATTTTGGTCACTTTCCAAAACAACCTAAAATCAACCAAATATCAACGTAATTTGGTGTCATTGTTGGATGTCAAAATAACGTTGTCCTTAGACACTGACTAGACATTAAATTTTGGTCACCTGGCATCATGACCTAAATCTAAGCTAAGCTAAGTCTTATGTTGTTGTGTGCCTGCTGGGTTTGCTTAGCAGAGCATTAAAATCGGTGTTAAGGGGTAACGCATTACAAGTAACCCAAATCACGTAATAATATTACTTTTTTAAGTAACGAGTAAAGTAAAGCATTACTTTTTTTTAAATTAAGCAAATAATATTTGAGTATTTATATTTTATATTTATATTTATATTTTGAGAATTTTTGTAATGCAATGCTTTTACAAAAAATTTAATGCAACTTACTTTTTAGTTGAATTAATAAGCTTTAAAAAAAATGCAGAATTAAAAATTAATCCTGCACTCAATAAGAGAATGTGAGAATTCACAGGAACAGACAGAAACAAAGATGGCAGAGCCTTACATTCCTGCGATGGAAGTATTCACATTATTCTGAACACATTGAAGAAAAGGAAACGAGAATTGTCTCAGTGGACAGTGATTTTATTGTAACTAGTAAAACAAAAAGTGCAAAAGTAGCAAACACATTGCTTTAAACTTTCATTAAACTGTATAAATGACATGTATAGCTCTGGGTCAGGACATTGTCAGAAGATAACATTATCCTAAATTACTTTTGATATGTTTAAGTTAGGCGAGGCAGTGGCACAGTAGGTAGTGCTGTCGCCTCACAGCAAGAAGGTCGCTGGGTCGTTCGTTCGAACCTCGGCTCAGTTGCCGTTTCTGTGTGGAGTTTGCATGTTCTCCCTGCCTTCACGTGGGTTTCCTCCGGGTTTTCCGGTTTCCCCCACAGTTCAAAGACATGTGGTACAGGTGAATTAGGTAGGCTAGGTCCGTAGTGTATGAGTGTGTGTGTGAATGTGTGTGTGGATGTTTCCCAGAGATGGGTTGCTGCTGGAAGGGCATCCGCTGCATAAAAACTCGCTGGATAAGTTGGCGGTTCATTCCGCTGTGGCGACCCCGGATTAATAAAGGAACTAAGCCGACAAGAAAATGAATGAATGAATGAATAAATGAATGAATGAATGAATGTTTAAGTTAATGGAGGTTATATAGTGCATTGGTAATTGTAGAGCTCCTCAGCCATGAAAAAGTAATGCATAAGTACTGTAATGCATTACTTACTATAAAAAAGTAACCAAGTAACACAACTAGTTACTTTTTTGCGGAGTAACTCGATATTGTAATGCGTTACTTTCAAAGGTAACTTTCCTCAACACTGATTAGAACAGGACATGGGTAAATGTAAACATTTTTAAACGTGAAAAAGATTATCAAAGTTGCCCATCATGGGTTAATTTAAGATAATTGAGCAAGTGATTGTTTGAATACATTATATATAGTCCTGCAACCAAAGTAATCAGGAAAGAAAACAAAACTAATTACTTAAAAAATTCAGTTATGTGTATTGTAATAAAATGACACAGTGAAAGTGTATTGAACCCAAAGAAAAAGAGGTGTAAAAAGCCCAGACAGCAGCTGAAATCTCTCGGCATAGAAAGCAACCCAACCCAACACCAACATTACCAGGAGGATGAAAATGAAACCAGAGTTAAATTAAATTACTTGGCAAATTAACTGAAAAATAATAAGTTTCAGTGTTGGTGTAAAATTCTGAAGCACAAAATATTTCTAATATTAGTTGGAGAATGATATGATGATAATATATTGTGATACATGTATAAATATGTACATGTATAAATGATACTATTGATTGCATTACTCTTGATCAACAAGTTTACTTGGCTGTTAGTGATATGTAAGTAAAGATAAACAAACACAAAAAATCTGCTATAACAGAAGAACAACAACACTGAGCTGTAAAAAGTGAAAACCAGAGCACATTACTCTAACTTGTTACACCTAAAAGAATCAACCTAATTTATTACAATTTTCAGTAATAATTGAAGTTGAATAAACGTAATTCTTTTAGGTGTAACAAGTTGGACTAATTTGTTTAAGTTGATCCAATGTTCTTTTTTGAACTGAAGCTTAAGGCTGTTCTGTTTCATGTCTTTGGCCCACAGAGACTCGTATGTGTGTGTGTCTGAGCCAGCGGTGGCTCTTAGCAGAGCTCTGCTTCCTGTCCACGGGTCACGAAATCTCTGATCCAAAGCTTTTGTGTGCCCCCTGACACAGCTGCTGAAGGTGCTTCTGTCCACGTGTTCAGAGCAGAGTCTCACAAACACTATTACCAGGGGAAAAAACTGAAAACACATTGCTGTTCTAAGACTCATTTTCCATTGACTGTCAGTTTATATTTTCTTTTTGCATAGATGAAAGTTTCCCTTCCATGTTTGAATAACTGTTTTGTCCATTTTTATCAGACCCTTAGTTCTGCGATCAGAAAAAAAGAAGAGGATCCTTTTGATTTTGCTTTACATTGATGAGCCGCGACAGGCCCCCAAAAAAATCTTACAAAAGCATGTGAAGTGGCTGGGCAACAAATGTGTCTTCTTTTCTAAGCCCCAATATATCAGCATGAAACAGGGAGAGGGGTGATACGAGTGTGTTTATGCTGAATTGCGCTGACCTGAAAAGAGATATCACATGAAGATGAATGGCGAATGGGGAATAGCTGAAGGATTTGGAGTAAGGGTGACTGTATCTCAGCAAACATCAGGAATGCCAAGCAGCTGAGCTCTGTTGTGCTTCATTCTGTCTGAAGCTGAACTGCCTCGCTCTAGACTCTATAAGCCAGCATCTCTCAGTGATATACCGCTGCAGACAGTCCTTCGTATATTTCATCGGCCTGAATTTCCTGTTGTTTGCGACCACAGTGAACAGAGTGTTCTGAACAGAAGTTTCTGGGAGAACTAAAATTAAACCTGATTTCATGATTACTTGTCTTTTTGTTATTTTAAATCCATGTGTGGAAGACGATTTCCCTGAATTTAATGATATCAATTAATATGGTCATCTTGTTTCTGTATTTTACTTGTCCATCTTTAAATGATAATGAGTGGTTTTCATTTTTCACCTCAGATGTTCCAGCGGCTTTGATCGCCACCGGCAGGACTGGGTGGATAACAGCTGCCCAGATGAGGTGTGTTTGTTTGTATTTTTTTCTATCATAAATCTCTGCCTGCATGATGTATGAATTCATCTGCAGTTTGCAGAGAGAAAAGGATACCTCATGTTCACTATATCTTTCTTCTTCTGCCTTCACTAAAATACTACATGTACAGCGAAACCCAGTATTAAGTAAAAACATGTGTAGCATCACATTTTAGCTTTTCTAGCAGTAAATGTTTTTTTATTTCTATTTAATGCATTTACTAATGCATAATTTGGAGGGTCTATAACATTTTTTTTTATTTATGTCTTTGTACAGACTGATTGTCTGTCTACAGACTCTGACCTCTTTACATGTTATTGACATTATTAAAGCTCTCCATTAAATAATTATTTAGTGTTTTTGTTTGTATCACTGTGAACTGTAGAGCTGATAAGGTAGCCTTACATTTAAAATGAAGGAATCCTAATTGATGTTCCATTGCTTTTAGAGTAAGCTTTCATACTGGTGTTTAGAGAGAACAGATCTAAATCTAAAGTCTAACAATCAAAGCAACAATCTCCAAAGTTCAGTTCGTATTACTCAGCCGTATTTGGGTATTTAATGTCAGAACAACATAACTGCCAACTGTATGAAAATCTGAAATCTGAGACTTTGAAAAAAAAACAGAGAGAAAATTGTCTTAAAAATTTTCCAAATATAATTTTACTAATTAAAAAAATGAGTTTTGATATACACTAACTGGCCACTTTATTAGGTCCACCAGTCTAACTGTTCGTTAACACAAATTTCTAATCAGCCAATCACTTTGCAGCTACTCAATGCATTTAGGCATGTAGACATGGTTAAGTCGATCTGCTGCAGTTCAAACCAAGCATCAGAATGGGGAGGAAAGGTGATTTAAATGACTTTGAACGTGGTATGGTTGTTGTGCCAGTCTGGGTATTTCAGAAACTGCAGATCTACTGGTACCGTGTGCCACTACTTTCAGCTAAGAACAGGAAACTGAGGCTACAATTCATACAGGCTCACCAAAATGGACAACAGAAGTTTAGAAAAATGTTGCCTGGTGTGATAGGTCTCAATTTCTGTTGTGACATTCGGCTGGTAGGGTCAAATTTTGGCATAAACAGCATGAAAGCATAGATCCATCCTGCCTTGTATTAACGGTACAGGCTGGTAGTGGTGGTTTAACGGTGGGGGGCATATTTTCTTGGCACACTTCTGGCCCATTAGTACCATCATTTTAACGCCACAGCCTGCCTGAGTATTGTTGCTGACCATGTCCATCCCTTTATGACCACAGTGTACCCATCTTCTGATGGCTACTTCCAGCAGGATCATGTAATAAAGCATGAACCATCTCGGACTAGTTTCTTAAACATGACAAATGAGTTCACTGTACTCAAATGGCCTCCACAGTCGCCAGATCTCAATCCAATAGAGCACGTTTGGGATGTGGTTAAACATAAATGTGCTGCTGACATATCTGCAGCAACTGCATGATGCTATCAGGTCATTTTGGACCAAAATCTTGGAGGAATATTTCCATTACCTTGCTGATTCTATGCCATGAAGCATTAAGGCAGTTCTGAAGGCAAAAGTAGGTCCAACCCAGTACTAGTAAGGTGTACCTAATATAGTGGCCACTAAGTGTATTTACAAAATATATGGAACATGGCCCTCACTTCATATACTTATGATTTTTGGCATAAAAGAAAAATCTATAATTAATGCATTGTCGGCTATTTTTTTATATTATAGCTATGCAACATAAGACATGTCATTGAGGTTGACCTATTGGCACTGATAAGCAATGTCATTTTTGCTTATGTCACATATGTTTTGGTTCAACTGCTAATATCACTTGTCTTTCACTGGCAGACTAAGGATAACTCGTGTGACATTATCAGCACCACTAATATGGATCTGCTGACCACTGCATCAGTGGTGAAGATGAGCACAAGGAACAGAGGAACTACTGAGGGTCACTCGAGCCGAGCCCCATCACACATGCCCACCAGCATACCGACAGAAGGTACAGACACCACAGAACATTAAACTGATCTTACAATCCTCTGAGAGAAAGGAAACAAACGGGTCAGTGATCTGAACCATTAGTTACAAGTGACTGCTCGTGGTAAGAATGCGGCAGGATAATGTTAAGAGGGCACCAATGGATTCTACATAAATCAATAGACACGGAAAAAGAAAGGCTTATTTGTGCTTTATGCGCTTGAGGAAAATCAATTCCTGGAGAAGAAATGTTCAGTGTGTAAGAACATTCAGAACATGGTTAAAGGGCTTTGCTCATAAATGGCTTCAATAGATAATCATGCTCGTCTTTCTGCTTAAATAAACACTGGCACTTATGAAGACACACACTCTCATCCATTCACCGCTTAAAGGGACAGTTCACAACCTCTTTGAGTTTCTTTCTTCTGTTGAACACAAAAGAGGATACAGAAAGATGTCGGAAAATGTTTGCATAAGAATGAGTGCATTCTTCTAAATATCTTCTTCTTTGTTCAACAGAAAAAAGACACTCGTGGTTTAGAAACACTGTAGGGAAATACTAAGTATTTTTTCACTCTTGTGTGAACTATCACTTTAGCTGTTATATAATCTCAGCGTCATATTGTGTGCTTCGCTTTATTTTTCTTCAAGATAGACACAAACACATTACCAGACACAGCAACACGGCATAAATGATCAGTCTTGTCTGTGAATTATGAGCGCACCTATAATTATTTACAGAAACAATGTTTTTTATACAAAATTCAGCGCGAGTTTGATTTAACTTTTTATTTAATTTTCTCTCTCCTTGTTTGTTTAGCCTAGGCCTGTTGCAACTGTTAATGTTCTATTGTCTGTAATAATCTAAGCGGTTACTGGAAAAAACAGTAGTAATTGTGCGATTTTAATTACATTTCAATTTGCCATCCAACTGAAGATATTTGGCAACAGAGATGAGGTTCTCAGGGTGAATGCGTACCTTGGCTCTAGGGGTCAAACATCAAAAAATAAGGTCATGAATCTTGGAGTAGTTCTGGAGTCATATCTGAGTTTCAGTAGTCATGTCAAAGCAGTAGGTAAATCAGCATAGTATCATCTCAAAAACGTTGCAAGAATTAGATACTGTGTTTCCAGTGAGGACTTGGTTCACACTACAGCCAAATGTGGCTCGGGTAATGATAGTGTGAACAACCCAAACTGCATAGAATCTGATCTTTTTAATTCAGACTCTGTGCCACTTTCATTTGTAGTATTAAATCAGACACAGATCTGATGTTTTGCAATGCGACTGTAGTGTAAACAGTTATGCAGGATTTCATCTGACTTTTACATAATTTTTGAGCGGCATGTGTCATCATTCTGTGCCACAAACATGCACACAACATACTCCTCTGCAGCATAGTAGAATGGCACACAGGGCAATAACTTTACCACAGAAAGTTGGTTGTTCATTCTATAACAACTGTGGTGCCCGTCGCCATATGTTGCCAGAAATTACAGTGAAACTCTTAGAAAAAAGGCTCTTGAGTAAGGGTGACAGAAAAGAAGTTTGTTGCAACGATCATAATGAAATCCGTTACCTCAGAGATTTTTCCGCCTCAGAGACACCCTTAAGTTAAATTACCGAAGGACTTTCATGCAAGCGGACACAGGTGGTGATTGTAAATGACAGCACTTGCAGAGGAAGCGTGGTTGCCTGAGTGTGTAAGTCCAAGCGTGCAAGCATGGAGGTGCAAGTGCAAATCTGCAACCAGACTCTATTGAAAAAATCAGCAATCTCGCAGTGTAAACAAAGCCTTAGAGAAACTTGTTCATGCTTTTATGCAGAGCGGATTACTGTAACAGCCTCCTCACTGGTCTTCCCCAAAAGACAGTCAGGCTGTTGCAGCTCCTTCAGAACACTGCAGCCAGGATTCTGACGAGAACCTGAAAATCAGAGCACATTACATCTCAGGTCTCTACACTTGCTCCCAGTGACATTCAGAATAGATTTTAAAGTATTATTACTTGACTATAAATCACTAAATGGCTTAGGACCTTAATACATGACAGATATGCTCACTGATACAAACAAATCACTCAGATCATTAGGATAGAAAAATAGAAATTCCCAGAGTTCAGTTAAAGCTGAGTGAACTGGCCTTCAGCTATTACGCCCCTTACTGCTGGAATCAGCTTCCAGAAAAGATCAGATGTGCTCTAACATTAGGCACGTTCAAATCAAGACTTAAAACACATTTGTTAAACATTAAATAGACACAATTTTATTAGAAATTATGTCATATACTATTAATTGTTTTGCAATTACTTGTATGGCAATTCATTTTTAGACGACAGGCCTAGTCAACATAATGAAGGGATTTTTTTCCCAATTCTTGGCAGTTTTGCTATTTCAGGGAATTTCCAGTAATGTCACACTGTTTGTATTTACTGAACTGCATGACAGTCACAGCCATTGAGAACATTTCTGATTATTAATGCACATTTATGAGGAGCAATGAAATTTCATGGTAAGTGGGGCTTTTATGAAGCCTTGTATAAAATATGATGCTGGTGTTTGTTCTGTCATGTCTCAAAACTAAAAGCTGCTAACTATGAATATTTGCTCACTTCACTTCACGTAAATCAGTAGCGCGCTCTGTTTTTACAGGCAGGACTGGATCTGGCTACAAAGATTACATTAGTTTCTGTTTTGCCAGGGGTCCACTTAAAGTGATTAAGTACACGAAACAATCTGTTCATCATTAACAGTTTCTCAGAATACTCAATAAGCCAGTGAATTATGAGGTCATTGAAAAGGCATATAGCTCTTGTTTCTACTCTCTGTCCTTCATCCCCTATTCATTACTGAATGGTTATTTCATTAACAGGCCACTTATGTTATTATGACAAGAGAATTAAAATGCTGACAGGTCCATATGGAATAATCAAGAAATTGATGCATACTATATAACTGTGGTTGAGTTGTACACAGTAAAATGTGGTAATCTGTCATAATTTATGCAACATCGTGTTTAAATTAGTTTTTTTAACTGAAAGCAAATAAGTACATTTGGGTAATTGTTGATAACCAGTTTTGGTTATTGTTAACTCTAGTAAGAATCAAAAATGTTTTCTTTTCTAAATATCTTCCTTTCTCTATCAAAGAAAAAAATTTACAACTGTCAAGGCACGTTTATTTATATAGCACATTTCATACACAGTGCCAATTCAAAGTGCTTTACATAAACCGGAATAAAAGAGACAAGTATAAATAAAATAAAAACAAATAATATAAAAACAGATGCAAACAGCGTAAAGACAGTTTTTCCTTATTCAAAAACACTGGTGTATCATATTTTCTCATTTTACTCTGGGACTTCCCTATTCTGGTAATCACCCCCACCGCCCTCTGTGGACCTTTTCTGTGTATGAATCTATTGCATTATATACTGGTGCTATTAAAAAGTATTGCAATACCCTGGTGCTGAAAATGCCCATGTCGGTAAATATTCCTATAAAGACAGTTGTAGGTAAACACAGGTCCTGGCGAATAAAAACAGCTGAGAAGGAATCTGTGCGTCATTAATTTGAGACTGTTCAGCTCGTAAAGTGACCGCAGTCTGGTGTTCCTGCTGCTCTGTTCATTCGGTGATAATGACAACACCATAAAAAGGCAAAACCACTCACTGCACTTTCCTGAATCACTATATATATATATATATATATATATATATATATATATATATATATAAACAAGTAAACAAATAAATAGACTTTCTTAGCATGTAAAAAACACATATTAGGTAGGATGCTTTCAGGGAGAAAGAACTGAGTTTTAATAAATAAATAAAAATTACAGCTTAGGATTATAACACAGAACGACATAATATCTAACAAATTTGTCCTGTATTTCTCATGTCAGAACAATACAACATCATCTGCCAATCACTAAACCATGTCATGTGAAGTACTTTTATTAAATTCTTCTGCAATTTATATCAGATGTCATTTATTGATTAGTTACATTAAACAAAAACAATATGAAACAGTAAGTCATAATAATTTAAGTACATCATAAAAAATAAACAACCACTAAGTTTTCATATAACATTTATTACATGTAAAGCTGTAAAGCATTGCAGTCAATTCTATCTGCTCTGGAGCAAGTAACAGATGATTACAACTAAAGATTTCCTTTTGGCAAACTCAAAATTAAGTATATTTTACATTTAACCACAATATAGACATCCAACTAAATGCTTGATTATGTAAAAAATCATAATCACAATTATTTGGGGCATAATTGAAATCATAATTGTTTTAAAGGGTGGCTCGGTGGTTAGCACTGCCGCCTCACAGCTAGAAGGTCGCTGGTTCGAGTCCCGGCTGGGCTAGTTTGCAGTTGGCCACCCCTGATGGATAAAGGGACTAAGAGGAAGGAAAATTAATTAATAAATGATAATTTAAAAGGATATACAGTTGAAGTCAGAATTATTAGCCCCCTGTTTTATTTTTCCTTAATTTCTGTTTAATGGAGAGAAGATTTTTTTCAACACATTTCTGAACATAATATTTTTAATAACTCATTTCTAACAACTAATTTAGTTTATCTTTGCCATGATGACAGTAAATAATATTTGACTAGATATTTTTCAAGACACTTCTCTACAGCTTAAAGTGACATTTAAAGGCTTAACTAGGTTAATTGCATAAAGATGGTTTGTTCTGTATAAAGTTTAAAGGGGCTAATAATTTTGTCCTTAAAATGGTGTTTAAATAATTAAAAACTGCTTTTATTCTAGCCAAAATAAAACAAATAAGACTTTCTCCAGAAGAAAAGATATTATCAGACATACTGTGAAAATTTCCTTGCTCTGTTAAACACTCTGGGACATATTTAAAAATGAAAAACTAATTTAAAAGGGGGCTAATAATTCTGACTTCAGTTGTGTAAAAAAAAGTTTTTCCTTTCTGTAAATAAGTTTGCTATCACATCTTCGAAAACCATTTAATTTCACAATTCTTAATACAATAGCAAAAAGGGGCAAAGTAAAAAACAAACTAACAAAAAGTTCATGAAATAATAGAATATGTAAACATACAATAGGATAAATATATGAAACAAGTTGTGCTTTAGGCATCTTCACTGTAGGAAAAAACCTAACTTGTTTCTTATCAAAGCTACGAACGTCAGGAGCAGTGAGTGATTTTGTCCATGTTTTTTGTTTGATTAGTTCTGATAAAAACAGTCGGCAGCAGGAATATAAGGCACTGTCGCTTTAAGAGCTATGCAGTTCCAATTTACATGCCTTGTCATTCTCAACTCATTACATTCGTTTATTACATAACAAATGAGAGTTAATGTGAATAATCTCCAAACACTGTGTTTTGACACATTTTTGCATGTATTTGACCATTAAATCGCTCAGGTGACTTTAGAAGTGTGTCCTTTGCTCGTTTCAGAGGCTCAGCATGTCTACTCAATAGGATGCATTCTCTTTGGAATTTTTTAATAACATGAATTAATCAAATACACAATTTATCATTAAATGAAGCCCTCCTATGCTGCAAAAGTCACATTACAAAACATGCTTTTACTCGGTTTTATGTGAAATTAACTTTGCAGGGGAACAAATGTGTACTGCTGCAATAATCATTTTATCTCAATCAATGTTTTTTCATAATCGTTAGAGGCTAAAGTTAAAATTGAAACTGAATTTCGATTAATTGCATAGCTCTACTCCAGAATAAGTGTCTGTCATGAGATTTTCTTGTAGACAATTAGCAGCTGAAAGGCTGTAAGTCTCTCCTTCAAAATCATCTAAACACATTTTCATAAAGGCACTATATCTTATAAATAAACTGCATATTTGAAAATCTAAACAACTACACTTTCACCTAAAAAGTCCTCAAAATACATTATCAAGTACAAGAGGAGAAGTATTTGTCAGACTATATCAAAGTCCCTTTAAGGCAAGTCATTTCACTCGGCTGCCATCTTTGAAATGCCTCTTGGGCAGTATGCTCGTGCATTCTGTCTGAATGGGGAAACATCACATTCTCCAAGCGTAAGTTTGCCGAGCTTACGATTACACTACGTATTTGGAATCACCAATAAAATTAAACAATAGCTAACTCAAAAGTTTAGTTTCTAAATGTTCAAACAAAACTGTGTTTTTTTAGGTTGCCTGAATTGATGTGAACTTAAAGCAAGCGAGATCACGGCACATACCTCATTTATGGCTTTGTTACACATTATAATCATCTAGATCAGGGGACACAAACTGCCGGCCCGCGGGCAATTTGCAGCCCTCTCCTCCTCTTTCCAGCCCGCAACTGACATTAAAAATATTACGAGATTCCGCCCAACAAAGCATATATTTTTGAATCAGTATCATTGTTGTGCAGTCACATATAGCCACTTGTGGTTTTTGCCCTCCACCTATTGGACATTTAAAGTACTGTACTATATATTCGTGTTACTTTCAGTTTCTTTGTGGTCAAGAGTAACGCAAATGTAGAATTTTTCTAGGGCTGATTTAATTAAGTTTTATACCGCCTGTATTTTGTTGTACAAACACATCTTCATGGTTTAAGCGTTATGCTGGTGGTGTAAATATGAACAGTTTGCCATTGTTTGGATCAAATGGTCTCATTAATAAATTTTACTAGTATGCATATCAAGAATTGTATAAAATTGTACCGCTGGCTGAATTAAACATGTTAAAGTAAATATGCATATTTATACATACTTGTCCCTTCTTTGTTGTAGTTTTACAAAAAAGAAATATTTAATTTACAGCCCTCCTGTGAATTGTCGTTCACTGAAACGGCCCCCAGCCAATTTGAGTTTGAGACCCTTGCTCTAGATAAAGCTTCATCAGATCATGCTGGTCTTCTGAAGTAATCAACATCTTGATGGCGAATCTCTTCCAGGAATGACAGCGACTCTTTGTTTACAAGTTTGTGGGCGATTGAGTAGTTGCGTTTGACAGGACTGACGGTACCTCATTGTCATTTCATACAGATTACAAAAACCTTTTGTTTTCAAGTGCACGTGGTTTATTTAAAACTAGAGATTTGAAGCTTTATGTGGATATATTTCTTGTGTGTGAAGCAAGTATTCACTAAGTTTTCAGTGTGTTTTTTGACCACCAAACTGTCATAAAAGCACATGTCTGGTCCGAGATTCTCCCATGGAGAAACATCAGTCTATAGCGATTGCTGGTTGGTTCCTGTATTAGTAAGTGGTGCTTGATTCGCCATATTGACCATTACACTTTTCCCAATTCAAAACTATACGAGTGACGCATCTTGTGTATTCTGACCAAGTTTAGTCCTCTTTTTGGCACTCGATGTGGTTGGAGTGATACACACATATGGAGAGGCTGGAACTGAGTAACATGTACATTATTTTCTAGTAATTCAATTAACTAATTATAATTATCCCTCGTTAATCATAGAATACATGTGTGTGATTGGGAAACTTTGATGTAACAATGTAAATGAGAATCTTAATACCTTGCTAAATTGACTCTGTCTACAATGGATATTCCGCAGTTATTGTGCCGCTTCAGTCCTCATCAGAAATGCCTACAGCAGATGTTGACCTGTCTGTTGCACACAGGAGCTTTTCTGCTCACTACAAATCATATTCAGGAATGCTGGAGTAGATCGCTCATTAAAAATTCATTACAAATCCATAACTTGCTCCATAACATCTCTTTGAAGTGCTCCTCACACATGTGTGACCCATTTGTTTATAAGATGGGGTTGTGTTTTTATGGTCTGTGATGTTACATTTCACTGTAACATAGAAACTGTTTACGTGTAAACTGAGTTTTTTACGTACTTCTCTTCTTCTGTCTGTTTTCTTGTTTGCTTTTATAGATGACACCAAGATTGCGCTGCATCTCAAAGACAACGGAGGTAAGATGTGTTTTCAAAGTTTGTCTTTGCACTACAGCTTTTCTTCCGCTTGAGCTTTTCCTCCTCTTGCCCAAATAAGGTCAAATTGTGTGTGTTTGTGTGTGTGTGTGTGTGTGTGGTAGTAAGTACAAAATTTCCAACTAAATGTCTTTTCCATGAAGCAGTGTATTGCGCCAGTTCATTTCCTGTCCAACAGCAGATTTTTGTTTCGTACCTTTTACTTTTTCCCATCTTCTACTCTCTCTGTTCATCACATACAGGGTCTTTCTTTCTCCCTTGATGTACTTTATTAGCTTGATATCTCTCACTTTTGTCTCTCCCTCTCTTTATTCCCAGAATTGTGTTAGTCAGATCCAGGTCATGTGTTTTTGATTTGGAGCGGGCTCAGTATTTCTTTACCAGTCGGAAACGGCAGTCAGGGCTTCAACATTTCATCAATAAAGCAGAAAACAGCACATGCAGCCAATGAAAACATGTAGCCAGAGGAAAGCGCTCTCTAACTTAATGCAGAATAACAAAAATGTGGGAATTCCTTCTTAAATTTGGTAAAAGGGTGCAGGTGTCGCTGTAATAGATGGCTTATGCTCAAATATTTTCTCACATAAAAATGAAAATTATTGTTAAATTCTATTCAGTGACATATAAATTCATTTATTCATTAATTTTCCTTTAGCTTAGTCCCTTTATTCATCAGGGGTCACCACAGCGGAATGAACCGCCAACTTATACAGCATTTGTTTTACACAGCAGATGCCCTTCCAGCTGAATCCCAGTACTGGAAAACACCCATACACACACACTCATACACTACGGCCAATTTAGTTTATTTAATTCACCTATAGCGCATGTCTTGACTGTGAGGCAAACTGAAGCACCCGGAGGAAACTCAAGTGAAAACGAGAAGAACATGCAAACTCCTGACAAAAATGCCAACTGACCCAGCCAGGAATTAAACCAGCGATCTTCTTGCTTTGAGGCAACAGTGGTAACCACTGAGCCACCGTGTTTACAACAATTTTAAGTTGTTATTTAAAAAACTATGGTAGAAATCCAGATTTTTCTGGATTTGAGCATAAAACCTTTTGCTCTGTTCTGGAAATTCCGTTGATTTTAAACTATGATGACTCTGAATATTAAAAAGAAAGTAAGAAAATGTTTGATCTAGTATCTACAATGAAAATTAGTAAACATAATTAGAAAGTTTCAGAATTTTAATAATTTATGCACAACACAATAGTCATTAACCATGTTTTAACTTGAGAAGTGTTAAGAAAACAATGTTTGATGGACTAACCCTAATTTTCAATAACAATAACTGAAAACATTTGGTCCCTTTCTGAATAAATAAAGTCTTAAAATGACAATATTTTAGTTTGAAATGAAGAAAAAAAGTTATCAGACCTTTATAGAATATAACACATATTAGGATTCACTCAAATTGAAATCTACACTGTAAAACCCAAAAAGTTAAGGTAACTCGAACCGTTTGAGGAAACCGATTGCAACGAACCATTTCAGTTCAAAAACTAATCCTGATGAGTACTGTAATAAAGCAATTGAGTAATGAAGCAATTTGAGCACAGTAAAACCCAATACATGCAGAGAACTCAACCCAACTGAGTACTGTAAAACCTAATAAGTTAAAGCAACTCAAACCATTTGAGGAAACGGATTTATACAAACCATTTGAGTTAAAAAGGAATCTATATGAGTACTGTGAACTCACTCCATTTAAGTTGAAGTAATGAGGTTTATAATTAGCTCATTACCTTCAACACTTAGTTCAAAACTTTTTTTCAAATGAGTAGAATTAACTTTCAGTCAATTTTGAGTTAACTATACTCTCATTTCATTTGATAAAGTTGACTGTTGGGTGTATTAAATTCAGGGGCTGTTTTTAATGCTACCTATATTTGTTTCTGGTGTAAAATCTCAATGCAGCTGGAAACTGTACTGCTTCTCACATCAAATGAACCATGAAGCATCTGTATTGAGTTCACACCCTGTCAGAAGTAATATACAAGTCTGATTTTGCAAGGCCATCTTGACACAATAAAGGAAGAATGACGATTTTCATTTGATTGAGGGGAAGCCTGTTGTTCATGTGGTTCGGTTGCCAGCTGTCTGTGTACAAATTTCAATCTTTCATGACATCACAACTTCCCAAAGACACCAGACCTAGCATTCCCTAAATAATCTGCGATTTTTAAAAAATGATATATTAATGTGAGCAGTGCATTGTTCTCTCATAAAGACGTGATGTTTTGTTTTAAATTACTGCACACACATTTGACGAATTTGCTAAGCAATACTCGTTCAGTATTTTAACTAAGCAAATTTTTGACTTCAAGAGTCAAAGTGAAACATGGGCTGCACGGTGGCGCAGTGGGTAGCGCTCTCGCCTCACAGCAAGAAGGGTGCTGGTTCGAGCAATGACTGGGTCAGTTGGCATTTCTGTGTGGAGTTTGCATGTTCTCCCTGTGTTGGCATGGGTTTCCTCCAGGTGCTCTGGTTTCCCTCACAAGTCCAAAGACATGCGCTATAGATGAATTGGGTAAGCTAAATTGTCCGTAGTATATGTGTTTGAATGGAAGTGTATGGGTGTTTCTTAGTGATGGGTTGCAGCTAGAAGGGCATCTGCTGCATAAAACATATGCTGGATAAGTTGCCGGTTCATTCCGCTGTGGCGACCCCAAATTAATAAGGGAACTAAGCAGAGTCAAAGTGAATACACCACCACCACCCTTCTTATATTAATCCATTCATGTCCCATTCAACCTACTTGCAATGGTCAGAGGTATGTGTATATATTATAGACAGTAAATACAATTAAAGTAACCCTCTATATATGCTGCTTTCATTCAGTTGAATTTAAGTTTATTTGTATAGCACTTTTCACAATAGTTATTGTTTCAAAGCAGCTTTAAATAGGTGCACATTAATGCATTACAATCAAATTCTGAAAAGTTAAAGATATTAGTTACCATCACATTATTAGTTATTAATAATTGTATCTAATTAACTAGTAACTAATAGCTTTTTACAGTTAAAGTTATTTTATATAAGCTTAGTTAACCTGCAGTTATATAGTTTATAGATTATGTTTATGTGTACATGTTCAATGAATTGCATTTCTGTATTAAGTGTGTGTGTTGTCCTCGAAGTCCTTGCTGGTTTGCATTATCTCTTCACATGTCTTGGATCCCATAAATGGTGCAGCACAATCCTGAGAGGCCTTGGAATGGGCATCCCCAGATGGAAATAGAGAACAAAAAAAATGCGTAGCAGCTGTTTATAATGTATTTGAACAAGAGATATTAAAAGTCAATGCGAAAATGAAGTGCTATAAATGAAAATAGGACTTATATAAACAAGCATGGAAAGAAACATATAAAAAATGTCTTTTATGCAAGACATATGATTAAATATGAATCATTCTTACTAAATTCAGTATATTAGACTAGTAAAAGCATTCTATGATCCTCCAATAACTCGTAATTACAACTTATAAACTGCAACATCATGTGGAAACACTTGGAATTCTAGCAGCTTGAGCTGAAAAATGTAGTTAAGAATTATCATGTGGTGTTTTTGTGCAAAGATTCCTGCAACTGTTAATGCTTTGATAATGCAAAAATGATGAAAAGTAAATGAAAAACATGCAATACAGCTTAAAGTGTCCAAGTTATAGGGAGAGTGCAGCCAAAATTGAAAACTGCCATCATGTGTATCACTGTTTTTGTTCTGTTGAACATAAAAGAGGATATTTTGAAGAATATTACAATGTTGACGTTCCTATATTTGCTTTTCCTACTATGGATGTCAATTGCTTAGTTATAGCTTTACCACATTCTTCACTAGCAACAGCTTCTTTTGTGTTCAACAGAACAGAAAAAAACTCAAGCAGGTTTTGTAACAACTGAAGGGTAGATAAATGATAGACGATTTTTCAGTTTTGGATGATGAACTATGCCTTTAAGCTGATTTTATGTTCCCAATTCTGATTTGTAAATCTCCAACAATATGTTTACAACCATAGACACATTTATTGTGTCATAAAAATACATTTAACCTGAAGATGTGGAGTTAGTTTGATGATTTTTTGTTCTTAACACCTTTGAATCTAAATATATGAGATACTAAAGTTAAACGTAAACGTTAATCAAATATCTTTTAGGAGATAATAAGTGTTTCACTCATGCTCTTCCTCGAGAGAACTCCAGACTTTACCATCCCCAGACACTTCTTCTAGCTCAGTGGTTCTCAAACTTTTTTCACCAAGTACCACCTCAGAAAAAAAATAGTCTCTCCAAGTACCACCATAATCACCAGTATTGAAATAAAGTAACGTAGTTGGCCAAATTAAGCAGCTACAGCACTGCACAGTTTGAAAAGGAGGCAGAGTCATATTCATTCAACGAAATTGTACTCCATACAAAATATGACAGAGAGTAACAAGAAAATAGTCATTTTTCAAAATAGTCATTTTTCAAAATAAATGATCGTTCAGATTCAGATCATAAATGAAACTGAAATCATTAATGATGTTTTGTTCAACCCGGTACCAATTGATCTATAGACTGGTGCCGGTCTGTGGCCTGAGGGTTTGAGAACACTGCTCTAGCAAGTATCTGCTCTGCAAGCACCACGCACCTAGTTTTGCGCCAATTGAATTGAAAAGCTGATCACATTGGTGTTATTGTACGCAACCAATTCATTACTCAGTGATTCCTCCGTGTACCACTAGTAGTAAGCCCACGTAACACTAGTGGTACACGTACCACAGTTTGAGAACCACTGCTCTAGCTCCTCCAGGGGGATCCTGAGGCGTTCCCAGGCCAGCCGAGAGACATAGTCCCTCCAGCGTGTTCTGGGTCTTCCACGAGGTGTTCTCCTGGTGGGACATGCCTGGAACACCTCTCTAGGTAGGGGTCCAGAAGGCGTCCGGAACAGATGCCCGAGCCACCTCAGCTGACCACTCGATGTGGAGAAGCAGCGGCTCTACTCTGAGCTCCTCCTGGGTGACAAAACTCCTCACCCCATCCATAAGGGTGCGCCCTGCCACCCTGCGAAGGAAACTCAATTCGGCCGCTTGTATTGGAGATCTTGTCTTTTCTGTCATGAACCAAAGCTCATGACCATAGGTGAGAGTAGAAACGTAGATTGACCGGTAAATCGACAGCTTTGCCTTTTAGCTCAGCTCCTTCTTTACCACAACAGACCGCTACATTGACCGCATTACTGCTGCCGCTGCACCAATTCCTCTGTCAATCTCATGTTCCATCCTTCCCTCACTCATGAACAAAATCACAAGATACTTGAACTCCTCCACCTGGGGTAAGGACTTTCCTCCCATCTGGAGATGGCAAGCCACCTTTTTCCGGTGGAGCACCATGGCTGCGGACTTGGGGGTGCTGATTTTATATTTTCAAAGTATATTTTGTGTGTGTGTGTGTGCGCGCGCGTGTGTGTGCGCGCGCGTGTGTGTGTGTGTGTGTGCGTGTGCGTGCGTGCGTGCGTGCGTGCGTGCGTGCGTGCGTGCGTGTGTGTGTGTGTGTGCATGTGTGTGTTTGTGTGTGTGTGTTCAACGAAGAACAAAGTAATGAAAATGTTAATTTTGGGATGAAACATCCTGTTGCTGTTTCTGTACAGTGTATGAGAAAGAGAGAGAAAAAAAATAGTCCAGATCAAACCCATGCATTTTGAATGACCCAGCATCGTTAGACTACAGTTGGGGTGAATCTGGAAGATGTTCTGATGAATGTGTGGTGCCTGGGGTCCACACCAATTAAACAAGTGGGATCAAATCTTCAGAAAATGTCACATTTGATTTTATAATCGATTTCAACATAATGTTTCCATTAGCTCTGCTGGTGCTAACCGGAGATGTCGACATGTGATTTAATTTCACAGAAGTCTAGCAGTCTAGAAGGTATTTGAAGGTTAAGAGTGACAAAACCTTCAAGGGATTTAAATAGTTGCTTCACAGCACACTGTGTGGTTACAGTTTTCCTCATTTTGTTTCAGTATGACAGTCGTCGAGCCAGGCTGTCTTTAGCTGCCAAGCTTCAGTCCCTCTCTTATTGAGAATAAATTACTTCCCATGCTTAAGTGGTCATGGGCTCTTTCGTCTGGAATGAATAACATCAAAAATCCTGTCTTCTCATTTATTCTGCCCTGTGATATCTGTCAATCATTTTGGCACCTCTTGGCTTGAATAACTATATAATATACTTAATGTGTTCCTTATTTTGATAGAGAGAAAGGATTCCTTCTTTTAAAGTCACATTTATTGGACATTTCTGGAAATGACGTGACATATGGGCATAACAACTATAGTTTGATTAGTGTTAGCATTACAGTTTTGAAAAACATGATGTTGCTGAATATTTGAAATCTTTCACACTTGTTATAATTGTATTCTAACATTTAATATTTCACGCTTGTTTTTTTTTCTGTTTTATGGTATTTTTGCATGGGCGCAGAACAAGTTTTTTTTCAATGCTTGATATAGACAGCCCATTACTAAAATATGCTGTAACAAATAACTGTATAGTTGTTTTAAAGGGAACATTTATCTGCAAAGAAGCAGCACAGGTGAAAAAACAATTATTACCTCTCATGCAAAATTGGATTTCTTTTTCAAATATTTCTTAGCAAGGTATTTGTTTTTGTTTTGTTTTTTACACACAATAGCACATAATGACAATGTGAAAAAGATTCTTTGACATTGTTGCAAATTTATTACAAATAAAAAACATGTACATAAGTATTCGTAAGTATTCATAAGTATAAGTATTTGCTCAATACTTTTGAGCACCTTTGGCAGCCTCAAGTCTTTTTGAATATGATGCCACAAGCTTAGCACACTTGTCTTTGGGAAATTTTGCTTATTCCACTTTGCAATAGCTCTCAAGCTCTATCAGGATGGATGGGAAGCGACGGTATACAGCCATTTTCAGATCTGTCCTGAGATGTTCAATAGGATTTAGATCTGGGATGGTATAAGCCTGGTGATGAGTGATGCCTGGTTTTCTCCAAACGTAACGCCTGACATTCACTCCAAAGAGTTCAATTTTATTCTCATTAGACCAGAGAGTTTTGTTTCTTATGGTCTGAGAGTCCTTCAGATGCCTTTTGGCAAATTCCAGGTGGGGAGTGGCTTCAGTCTGGCCATTCTACCATACAGGCCTGATTGGTGGATTGCTGCACAGATGGTTGTCCTTCTGTAAGGTTTTCCTCTCTCCACAAAAGAAAGCTAGACCTCAGACAGTGACCATCGGGTTATTGATCACCACCTTGACTGAGACCCTTCTCCCCCGATCACTGAGCTTATATGGCCGGTCAGCTCTAGGAAGACTCCTGGTGGTTCCAAACATCTTCCACTTATGGATGATGGATGCCACTAGGCTCGTTGGAACTTTCAGAGCAGCAGAAATTTTTCTATAACTTTCCCCAGGCTTGTGTGTCGAGACAGTCCTATCTCGGAGGTCTAAAGACCTGAAATTAATCAGATCTTTTGTACCGTTAAATAAATATCAATACTTGACTACATTGATATATCGGGGAAAGAATGTTCACAATAAAACATCATATCAATATTTTGTCCTGCCACTATAAGTGAATAATTATATATAATGGAAAATGGAAACTCTGCACATTCTTCATTGCTGATCACCTTTACTCATTAAAATTGCAGATGCTGCGATGTGACTATTGCGAATGCACACATTGCGATATCGATGCTGAAACAATATATTGTGCAGCACTAGTTAAAAGGACCTAAAAAGGCTTTTTAAAAAAAGTCTTATTTGCTGTTTGTTCATTCATTTGTTTGTTCATTCGTTCATTTATTTAGTCAGCACACTGAAAATCAGTGTTGTTGGAACAAATTGGACTCAAACAAAGTAAACTCATTCTTCAAAATATCTTCTTTTATAGGTTCCATGATATTACATTACATAAGGGATAGTTCACCCACTGTAAACTGACAATTCGATCCTCAATGTTTAAAACAACAGAATATATTTTAAAGAAAGATGGAAACCGTTAACTATTTACTTCTGTAGTTTTTGTTTCCCTAATGGTTCTTAAATAGTTACTGTTTTTCAGCTTTCATCAACACATCTTCTTCTGTGTTTAAGAGAAGAAAGGGTTAATGGTTTGGAATCACTTGAGAGTGATTAAATAGTGAGTTCATTTTTATTTTTAGGTAAATTTTTTCTTTAAGCATTTTTGACAGGAGTAGGAGGATTGTATATGTTTACATTAATAGCAATGCATTTATTACATGAAAAAGACGTAGGATATTTATATAATCTATGTTTGAATTTGACTGATATCTATACATCTGTAACTGACATTATATAAAAAGGAAAGAGATTTTTCGCACAGACTCTGCTCGGCAGCTTTTGGTTTTAATAGAAATCTGGCTTTACTGCAAAAGCACAAGAACTGCAGACCACAGTAAATCTTTCAGGAGCCGCTTGGAAATGTCCGCGATACAAAATTAAGATTTACGGTTCTGTCTCTTTTCCGTCATTAATCGTTTTATCTCCATGTTGGACAGATATACAAACCACAGAAGCCTTAAAATCACAATACATAAGGGGCATAAATCAGGCGTGGACACAGCGCTCTCTTCTGTTCAACAGAGGAACTGCAAGGCTTATAAGGCAGGGATGCGATTATTGAGGGAAAACGAGTTTTTGTTCGGTTTGGTTTTAAAAAGCAGCGTGTACAACCACAGACTAATTGAGCCTGATAGAGTGATTGAACTGTATTAAATATGGTATAATGTGTGTGTTTCAGCTGCTGCGGCGAAAAGTACAGCAGACAGCGGCACTCACCCGCTGCACATGGGCCTGATTCTCGGGATGCTTCTGCTGCTCCTCGTAATGGTGGTCATAGTCCTGGTGACTGTTTACATCTACCACCACCCGAGCTCTACTGCGGGACTCTTCTTCATTGAGGTGAGAGAGTTTTAGTTAGTTCCCTTCAAATAAACACTCAACCTCATGTCTTTACAAAACTTTGAGATACACAAATGAACTCTGAAAGATTTTTGTCACATAAGAGACTGATTCATAATCGGATGTGACTAAATGGGACGAACAGGTTTAATAGGCTTTTATTCATTGATCAGTGAACGCTGTTTACGAATTACAGCCCAACAGATTTTGTCTCAGAAGCATGTTTAATTGAAGAAAAAGAACATTTTAATGCAATACAACAATAAACATTTGTTTCCTTTCCTTCTATTTTTTTGTTTTAACCCAAGCCCCACTCTAAAACCTGAACATCCTAAGGCAGCTTAACAATAATTAGAGTCAAATACAATAATTAAAAAGTCTGGAGTCATGCATGTTGTGACATAACAGCAATGATGGAAAAACAATTACAAATAAAAAATAAATTGCAGGACAAACTAAATTAAACACAAAGCACCATGAAGTGGATATAAAGATATATACAGATTACTTAACAGCTGGGTAATTCTTTCAGATTTTTAAATAGGTTCCCAGTATATAGATGTATAAGCAATAATGACCTCTGGGTCACTGATAAAGTTATGGAGCAGCATGTTCGTTGATGTGCAGTTTTCTAAATGAGGTTCATTTTTGCATACTTGAGATTATGCAAGAACCAGTGAGGTTTTTTTTACATGTGTCAAGCAGAACTGGTGAAGCATCAATATTTATATCAGTATAAAAACCTAAATTAAATCTGCTAATTATAAGAACTTCTTGTCAGAACATTTATTAAACTGCTAAAAATGTTTGTATTGCTATAATAATCTCTAAGCATCCTAAAATGAAGGTGCATTTCCAACAGGCACACAACACCATAAGACTTTAACATTAGGTTTGATTTAGACGTCTGGTGACCAAAATTCAATGTCTAGCCAGGGTCTAAGGACAATGTTATTTTGATGTCCAAAAACGACATCAAATGACGTTGATATTTGGTTGATTTTAGGTTATGTTGTAAAGTGACCAAAATCCAACGTCGATCCAACATTCTAAACCAACCTCAGATTGACGTCAAATACTGACATTTATTCTTCTGGTATAACAACCAAAATCCAACATCTGTCTGATCGACGTCATTGTGGTAACATCCACACAACGTCAAGCTGTAACATTATTATATGTTGATATTTGGCTGTTTTTAGGTTGGGCGTTTCAAAACAAAGTGCAACGTGCCCACGAGTTTGGGTTAAAATGTCAATCTTACATCATGTTGACATCCTGTGCCTGCAGGGTTTACTTTAAATACAAAATAAACTCTTGCTTTTTGAGAAATGGAATAAAAAAAATTGTTCAAAGTTGAAACAAGAATAAATTATAAACTAACTTTATTTACAGTTGAAGTCAGAATTATTAGCCCCCCTGAATTATTAGACCCCCTGTTTATTAGCCCCCAATTTCTGTTTAACAGAGACCAGATTTTTTTATAGAGTTTTATAGACCAGAGTTTTAATAACTAATTTCTATTGACTGATTTATTTGATCTTTGCCATGATGACAGTAAATAATATTTGCCTAGATATTTTCAAGACACTTCTATACAGCTTAAAGTGACATTTAAAGGCTTAATTAGGTTAATTGGGTTAACTAGGCAGGTTAGGGTAATTTGGCAAGTTATTGTATAACGATTATTTGTTCTGTAGACTATCGGAAAAAAATGTAGCTTAAAGGGGCTAATAATTTTGTCCTTAAAATGGTGTTTAAAAAAATAAAAATTGCTTTTATTCTAGCCGAAATAAAAGAAAAAAGACTTTCTCCAGAAGAAAAAATATTTTCAGACATACTGTGAAAATGTCCTTGCTCTGTTAATCACCTTTGGCCAAATAGTTAAAAAAAGAAAAACAAATCAAAGGGGGGCTAATAATTGTGACTTCAACTGTAGATAATAAACAAGACTACTTTACACATAAATGTATATGTTGATTTAAGAATCTACTTCTACTTGTGGTAGAATATGTATTTATTGTCTCTGTGCTGAGCGCATTTGAACTTCATGTATATTTACAGAGACGCCCCAGCCGATGGCCAGCAATGAAATTTCGGCGAGGTTCTGGTCATCCAGCATACGCAGAGGTAGAGCCCATGGGCCAAGAAAAAGAAGGCATTATTGAATCCGAGCAGTGCTGAGGTTTGACCTTTGACTTCTTAAGTCACACACAATCCAGCAACCCTCCTGATGTCTATCCACACATCTTCTATGATAAAGTCCAGCAACCCTCCAGAACCCTGATGCAGCTGAAAACACTGAGGGTGTGGAGTCTGAGCGGAAGAGACGTCCACTCAACAAATGCTTGGGAAACACTCAAAAACACTGTCCACAGAGGAAAGTTTGTCAGTCAGCTGGATGTATTTTGGCTTCTGCTCAGTTCCTGGCAGGACGTGTCAAGCAGCTCTGTTAACCTTGACTGAGGCTTTGAGCCTTTCACCCTCAAAATGGCCACCGAGCTGTTTGGTTCTCTGATCTGATGTGCCTCCAGGAGGGATTTTTCTTTTCATGACAGTTTCTGAAATGCACATTCATTCAGTTGATTTGTTGAAAATCTTATATAGGCCTTTAAATATCGCCGAAAGGGTTTGTAGGGGTTTTATGTTTCTCTCTCTATGATTTCAGCAGGTGTTTTGGAGCACGTTGGATGACTTCAGTTACAGATACTGTGTCTCTTCCTCTTGTTTGGATACAATCGGAAAATGTTCTGTGAACAATTGTGTCAATAGTATTGATTAACACTCCTCATCCATACGCAAACCATTTAGGACTTTTTTGCACATATTCACTTAACGCACATATATTGCTTTTTTTCTGGTTTATATCACAGTACTAATGCATATTTACAAGACAGGCGCTTGTGAGATTGCGTGCGTGTATATCTTTGTTTTTATTTTTTGCAATTGTTGTACACAATGATTCCCTTTACAGATAATAGAAATCAAGAATTTGTACTGATTTCCTTTTGAACGACAGGAAGTGAGACTGCGAGCTGTTATCATGACCGAGACCTTGATTTCTTTAATAATATCAGATTATAATATTTGTTCACTTAAATCATCCCAGCTTGAAAGAGTGGAAGCAACAAACTGAAAACTGCAATAATGAGTTGATTTTGACTTCAGAAATGTGATTTATTACTGTACTGAAAGAGTAACACAGCACATCCCAACCTTAAACATTAATCTACATATTTCTGTAATAATCTGGATTTTGACTATGAATGTTTACGATATATATCCTGATAAAACCTAATTAATTATGTCACATATTACCTTATCCTTTAAAAATGTCTCATGAAGACATTTCAAGTATCGTGACCAAAGAGCTGTCCTTACACACACACATATACAAATATACACTCACCGGCCACTTTATTAGGTACAGCTGTTCAACTGCTCGTTAACACAAATTTCTAATCAGCCAATCACATGGCAGCAACTCAATTCAATTAGGCATGTAGACATGACCAAGACAATCTCCCACAGTTCAAAGCAAGCATCAGAATGGGGAAGAAAGGGGATTTAAGTGACTTTGAATGTGGCATGGTTGTTGGTGCCAGACGGGCTTGTGTGAGTATTTCAGAAACTGCTGATCTACTGGGATTTTCACACACAACCATCTCTAGGATTTACAGAGAATGGGCCATAAACAAGAAAATATCCAGTGAGCGGCAGTTTTGTGGGCGCAAATGCCTTGTTGATGCCAGAGGTCAAAGGAGAATGAACAGACTTGTTCCAGCTGATAGAAAGGCAACAGTAACTCAAGTAACCACTCATTACAACTGAGGTCTGCAGAAGAGCATCTCTGAATGCACAACATGTCCAACATTAAGGCGGATGGACTACAGCAGCAAAAGACCACACCGGGTCACTCCTGTCAGCTAAGAACAGGACAATTTGCAGAGGCTCACCAAAACTGGACAATAGAAAATTGGAAAAATGTGGAGTAAATCATGACTGGTTTCTGGAACATGAAAATGAGTTCACTGTTCTCAAATGGCCTCCGCAGTCAACAGATCCTAATCCAGTAGAGCACCTTTGGGATGTGGTGGAACAGGAGATTCGCATCGTGAATGTGCAGCCGGATCTGTGGTAGTGAAATCTGCAACAATTGTGTGATGCTATCATGTCAATATGAACCAAAATCTCTGAGGAATATTTCCAGTACCTTGTTAAATCTATGCCACAAAGGATTAAGGCAGTTCTGAGGGGGTCCAACCCAGTACTAGTAAGGTGTACCTAATAAAGTGGCCGGTAAATGTATATCTATAGATCAAAAACAATTGGAAAACATTTCCTTATTACTGTAATACCAATTGATTTGCCAATCAAACAGTTTGATTGTCTCAGCATAGCTATGCATATTTCCTGAGCATTTCTTTTCACGTTTTATCGTCTCTTAGGTGTTTCATGCATGCAGCATTTGTTTCTTTTTTAATCCTCATAACAGGGTGGTCCACCAAATATCAAGGTCTAAATTCTATTTTTATCAACTTTCTTCACTGGAAGACCTGGTTATTTTCTGCAGACGTAACCTGAATGTGTATGTGTGTGTGTGTGTGTGTGATAAATGAACCTATCTTATTGTGTATGAGTGCACACTAATGTGAGGTCCAAGTGGATGTTTATTTTGTGAAATAATCTCAAATGATACGCTGAATGAGACCAGCTTTGTGCTCCGCAGTGACACCTGATCTTGAGATTTGGGGAAACAAAGATATTAGAGAGCTGAATTTTTGATAAGCGTAATCGTCATGTCGTGCCACACTTTGAGAGACAGTGAAACACACAATGCTGTAATCTGTGTACTCTTGAGTTACTACTGTCAATTTGACTACATAGTACAATTTGATTAAATAATAAAGTGGTTTAAAATGATGATTTGGCATCGTGCATTCGGTTTTCATCAGGGATTGGCAAAAAAACATTGAAATGCATTTTCAAGAGTTTACACTTAGCTGATGATCTATAAAGCGTAATTGGTATGCTTTCCCGGGAGCGAACCCGAAGCTCGTAATATCTTCGAGCCTGGGGCTCCCTCCCGTCAGGAGGGCGAGAGAGGAGTTCGAGCTCAGGTAGGTCTCGAGAACTCCCCTGCTTGTCGCCGTGTGAGAAGTGTAAACTAAGGTTGTTTTGGGTGATAAGTTGGTTTAGTAGATAAGCTATGGTTTATGTTTTTGGACGGTGGGAGGAAACCGGGGGAAACCTACGCGAACACGGGGAGAACATGGAAACTCCGCTCAGAAACGCCAACCGGCCTGATAGGAGGTTGGACCAGCGGTGTTCTAGCTGTGAGCCAACAGTGCTAGCCACTGGGCCACCGTGTCGCCATATCGGAAAAAAGGGGAAGAAGTTGGGGTGGAAGGGGGTTGGGGGGGAGGCTTCAAGACGAAGATAACTGGAGTGAAAAACTCTGGTTATTTATAATGCTTCAGTAATCATCTAATAGGGCAGATTACGAAGCTAATGAGGTGCCAGTCGTGTTGGTCATAAGCCTGTGATCCTCTCGAAATTAGTTTATAAATAAACTACACTTAAAATAAAATACCAAATACCTACATTTTAAGTCGATCAAAATAAACTACAAAACCGCACAGCACAGCACTACAAAACAAACTACAGCAGCCACAAATGTATCAAAATAAAACACTGTATTTTGAAAATACTACAAAATACTTTTACAAGGGAGCGTGGCATTTTTTTCACAAGCCTTCTATATTGGATCAATCCCTTCACCATTAAACTGAATTAGTAAGGTAAACAATGATTGACAGCAACAGTGTTTCTCTAAGTTTAAGTTAGCTTCTCTGCCAATGTACATGAGGAGGTATGTATAAGAAAATGTAACTTGTGTAAGTTTTATTCATAAAACTTGTGTTTCTCTTTATTTTACAATAGATTTTGAACAAATTTCATAGAGAAAGTCCTGTCTTAAAGATTATGTCTTTAATCACTGTAAAAATCATTGAAATCAGATAATGAGTTGGAATATACTATATCTCATGATTCTGAAAATCGCCACCATCTTTTAAAAGTTTTATTTTTCACTATTTTTGCAATTGAAATCTTCAATAGTCAATGTAAAATCATGATTTCTGAAAATGTGGGAGTTTTTGACCAGTAGTATGGGGTATTTCATATTTTTGTCTTATACTGATTAACTGTCAAAGTTTATAATTAGCCACAAAGCAAAATTGCTTTGGCTCACACAATCAGCTTTTACTTGGGCCACATGCCGCAGTGAATTACGGTACATGACTGGACCAAGTCTGGCTTCCAGGAAAGGGCCAAACATCGACCAAATCTGGCCCAGGTCTCAGCCAAGTTTATAACCCATAACTGGGCCTGAGCTGGAGCAGATATGCAAGAATGGCTATTGTCTGAAAGCCAGACTTGGTCCAGAGCTGGGCCTGAAAATTTTGCTATGTGGGTAGGTTAAATTTAGTTGCAACATACAGAAAAGAATAGATTAATAATTCAAATGATTAAATCTTGATTGTTTTCTGGATTAAAATAAAGGCATTAGAGGATGCAAACAGGAAGGTGTATTGAAATATTTCCTATCTCAAAAAAATATATATAATTTAAAGGATTTTAAATGTGGGTCAAGATTGACCAAGCATACATGGCCCACAAATCAATTTTCAACATCTGGGACAAATATTACATTTGAAATCTGGCCCATGTCTTGTCTGCCGCCTCTGCCAAACCTGAACCATGTTTGGCCCACATGCTGTATGCCAGTGCCAGATGAATGCCTGCTGTGCCAGCTTTATGCCAAATCTGGGCCAGAATTCTTTGCTTCCTGCAGATCAGCTACTGGCATTAAAAACAGCCATTGAAGTATTGGCAGGTATGATGTTGTAAGATGTAGTTTGTCTTATTTTCCTGTTTTTGAGCTGCTCCCAAATCTACCCCTGCGATTTGTCTGTTACTTTCTTTATATGTGATGCAGAATTTCCATCTGTACTCCAAGCATTGATCAACTTCTTCAATATCAATTCATTTTCTAGTTTGATCTCAAGCCTTGGCAAATAACTGAGCAAACGCCACTATTAAAGACTACATTTTTATGTCATCATCAAGACTTCTCACAAAGTGTTTTACAGTATTTTAAAAAACCAGACACTAAAGTATTTTGATACAAAATATGAATCCCTTTTCATAAACGCTATCAAATACAAATGACAAATTGCTATTTTGTATTTAAAATACATATTTGAAATACATGTATCATTAATACTGCCCATCCACGGTCTTCATAATGAATGTGTTATTTCTAGCTCTCTTTTAAAGGCTGTGTTATATTATTGGAAAAACTACTGTTTGTGTGTGATTAACTCATTTAAGATCATAAAACCACATACAAAGGATTGTTTGTGGGTCAATTTGGTTTACAACTGCTCCACAGAAACAAAGAGTAATGGTATATGTTAATTTAGCTAAACAGTTAATGTTAATCTTAATGTTGCTATAGTTCATACATTAAATAAGTCATTTTCCATGGTACATTTTAAAAAATGAACGGTCCATTAAAAACGTGCTTCAAATAATTTGTATGATATTATATATATTATATAATATTATATATATATATATATATATATATATATATATATATATATATATATATATATATATATATATATATATATATATATATAATGATGATAATGAATTGATGATGTTTCCAACTATTATTTTTTTATTATAAAGTTTACATTATATCACTTTACAAGCCCAGGAGTAAGACACTTTTAAACCAAAACTGTTCCCAATCTGTCACCAAATATATTATTCCAAAAAACTGCAAGCAGGTAAAGAGAACTTTTAATAACTAAGTGAATATCTGTGTTTGACATAAAACTGCAAGAGATTGGACAACAAAAATGTGCTGTCAAAAAGAAAAAAATCTAAAGAACCTTTAGGGACAGATTTGGCCAAAGGTACTGTATACAAACAGGGATTGCACCAAAAACAATGGCACATTCTTTGGGGGGAACTGGAAAAGAAAACCGAAGCATAAATGTTTCATTTAAGAAAGGGACACCACTATGGAGGACAAAACCTGCAAAAACAATGAATTAATTAATATGGAAATTAATTAATTAATTAATTAATCCACAAAATCCTGCATAAATAAATTATATAAATAGTGTGGGCAGATTATTAATTTAAAAACTACTTGGATGTTGAGAGCATAAGAAAATGCTAAACTGAAAGTAGATTTTCCCACTTTCACACCACACTATCATGTATTCATGTATTTACAGGAATTTGCAGATTTATTTAACATTTATTTGTTTATTTGTATATTTAGTTATTTATTGATTTATTTATTTATGCTGGAATTTGTGTATTTATTCATTCATTTTTTTATTTCTTTGTGTATTTGTTTATTGTTTTGTTAATGCATGAATTAGTGTATTTATTTATTTATTCATTTATTTATTTACCCATTTATTTATTTGTGTATTTATTTATGTGTGAATTTGTGTATTTATTTATTAATTCATTTATGTATTTGCATATTTATTTATTGTTTTAATTATGCAGGAATTTGTGTATTTATTTATTTGCATATTTATTTATTGTTTTATTCATGCAGGATTTGTGTATTTATTTACTTATTTATGCAGGAATTTGTGTATTTATTTATTTGCATATATGATTTTTATTGTTTTATTTTTGCAGGAATGTATTTATTTATTTTTGCAGGAATTTGTGTATTTATTAATTTGCATATTTATTTGTTTATTGTTTAATTTATGCATGAATTTGTGTATTTATTTATTTAATTCATTTATATATTTGCCTATTTATTTATATATTTATTTATTGTGTTTGCAGGTTTCATCCTCCATAAACCACAGTCATCTGAGAGCTTAATAACTAAATTATATTTTTATTAAACCAGTTATTTAAAAAAGAGATTTACTTTCATACCTAGTATTTTTATTGTTCTAAATAAAATAGGTACAAAAAGCAAAATATAATTATATGAAAGGGACCAAAAAATCTATAAGGTATTCAGATTATTTGCATAGAACTGTGACGCTGCAGTCACGTGTCTTGCCGTCAGCGAGCGCTGATTGGACGAGCAGTTTCAGAACGACTAGCAGAACTCAGGCGGTGTAGTTTATAAACAAGGGCCTACTCTTTTTATCGGCTTCTCGGTTATTATTATTTGCTTAATAGATCTGAGGAAATCTCATCTAAATTGCCCCGAGTTCCGGCTGAATGGCAGAAGCCTCAGTTACAGGTAAGCGATATTGGCTGTTTTCCTCTTAACGGCTAACGTTAGCTGTGAAGAAGTGAGCGTGTTTATGATCCTGGCCATATACACAGCCTCTAACCTAGCCATATCAAAAATAAAATAGAATACAAATGTGTTTTATCACTTGTTACCCGAATTTACTTAGCCGTTTAGCAATTTATATTTTATCATCGTCACGTTACCAAGTCTATTATGACGAAGTGGAAGTAGTTTTGTCATTCTGTGACAAGATAAAAGCACGAAAGAGTGTCGTTAAATGTATAAATCATATTCATATCTAACGTTAGTAGATTAATTTTGTAGCAGTCGACTGGAAAACAGGTGATGTCTTTTATCTTTGTCATGTGATGTTACAGCGTGTTGCAGAAATAGCTGAGTCAGTAAGCACACACTGACTGTACAGTGCGTGTAAGACAATCATGACTGTATAGATAACGTAACGCTTCACTAAAAAAAAAAAAGTCAAAGTGCAAAAAAAAACATGCTAACCGTTTGATTTTCACTTTTAGACACATCAAAGTTGAATCCAGAGTCTGCAGAGTTTGTTCCAAAGGCTAAACTCAATCAGCCCGACTCTAGAAGAAGTTACAGACAGTCAAAC